TCATAATATATTGGCTAAATCCAGGAAAGCCAAAGTTCCAACAGCTGGGCCTAAAGTGGTGCATAAGAGATCATACAAAATATTTCTGTGGATGATGTAAAAAATATTTGTTGGTCTGATGTGATTAATAAGGAGCATCCAGACGCTGCACTTGATGAATTTATGAAATTGCTTCTTCCAATTATTGATAAACATGCACCTGTTAGGAAACTAACTGTTAAGGTTCCATGGCTTGATGAGGAATTGAACAACTGTATGGTTGAAAGAGATGGGGCAAAAGGAGTGGCTAATAAGTCTGGCTACACATCTGACTGGTTGACTTACTGCAGATTGAGAAATGATGTGACTAAACTCAACAAAAAGAAGAAGAAACTGTATTATGAAGCCAAGATCAATGATATAAAGAATGATGGAAAAAAACTTTGGAGTATTTTAAATGCAATTATGGGCAGAAAGACAAATTCAACACACAACCATTTGATGTTGCCAATTATTTTAATGATTTTTTCATTTGCAAAGTGGGCAAACTTAGGCAGGAAATGCCAACAATGAACAGTGAGCCATCGTATTCATGCATAAAAAAACAAATAATGAAAGAAAAGCATTGCAAGTTTTAATTTTGTAAAGTTAGTGTGGGAGAGGTGGAAAAATTATTGTTGTCGATCAATAATGACAAACCTCCTGGCATTGGAAAGCTACTTTGGAAAGCTACTGAGGATGGTAGCTGACTCTATAGCCACTCCTATATGTCATATCTTTAATCTGAGCCTAGAGGAAAGTCTTTGTCCTCAGGCCTGGAGGGAAGCCAAAGTAATTCCGCTACCCAAGAATGGTAAAGTGGCCTTTACTGGTTCTAACAGCAGACCTATAAGCTTGCTGCCAGCTCTTAGCAAACTGTTGGAAAAAATTATGTTTGACGAAATACGATGCTATTTCTCTGTAAACAAATTAACAACAGACTTTCAGACTGCTTATAGGGAAGGGCACTCAACATGTACTGCACTGACACAAATGACTGATGATTGTTTGAAATAAATTGATAATAAGAAGATTGTGGGAGCTGTATTGTTAGATTTCATTGCAGCCTTTGATATTATTGACCATAAACGTATGTGTTATGGCTTTTCAAACTCTGCCGTATCGTGGATTCAGAGCTATCTATCTAATAGAACTCAAAGGGTTTTCTTTAATGGAAGCTTCTCTAATGTTTAACATGTAAAGTGTGGTGTACCACAGGGCAGCTCTCTAGGCCCTCTACTCTTCTCTATTTTTACCAATGACTTGCCACTGGCATTAAACAAAGCATGTGTCCATGTATGCTGATGATTCAACCATATACGCATCAGTAACCACAGCTAATTACAAAGAGTTGCAGTCTGTTTTGGAATGGGTGGCCACTAATAAACTGGTCCTGAACATCTCTAAAACTAAGAGCATTGTATTTGGTACTAATCATTCCCTAAGTTCTAGACCTCAGCTGAATCTGGTAATGAATGGTGTGGCTGTTGAACAAGTTGAGGAGGATAAATTACTTGGCGTTACCTTAGTTTACAATCTATCACGGTCAAAACATATAGATTCAATGGTTGTAAAGATGGGGAGAGGTCTGTCCGTAATAAAGAGATGCTCTGCTTTTTTGACACCACACTCCAAAAAGCAGGTTCTGCAGGTTCTAGTTTTGTCTAATCTTGATTATTGTCCAGTCGTGTGGTCCAGTGCTGCAATGAAAGACATAGTTAAGCTGCAGATGGCCCAGAACTGAGCTGCACGTCTTGCTCTTCATTGTAATCAGAGGGCTGATATAAATACTATGCATGCCAGTCTCTCTTGGCTAAGAGTTGAGGAGAGACTAACTGCATCACTTCTTCTTTTTATAAGAAACATTGTGTTGAAAATCACATTGTTTGCATAGTCAACTTACACACAGCTCTGACACACACTTACCCCACCGGACATGCCAACAGGGGTCTTTTCACAGTCTCCAAATCCAGAACAAATTCAAGAAAGCGTACAGTATTATATAGAGCCATTATTGCATGGAACTCCGTTCTTGCATGGAACTCCGTTCCATCTCATATTGCTCAAATAAACAGCAAACCTGGTTTCAAAAAACAGATAAAGCAACATCTCACGGCACAACGCCTCTCCCCTATTTGACCTAGATAGTTTGTGTATGTATTGATATGTAGGCTACGTGTGCCTTTAATTTTTTTTTATTTAGTTCTGTCCTTGAGCTGTATTAATGTTCTGTATAATGTTATGTTTTGTGTGGACCCCAGGAAGAGTAGCTGCTGCTTTTGCAACAGCTAATGGGGATCCTAATAAAATACCAAACCATCTCAATTGGTTAGAGGTCGGTGATTGTGGAGGCCAGGTCATCTGATGCAACACTCCATCACTCTCCTTCTTGGTCAAATAGCCCTTACACAGCCTGGAGGTGTGTTGGGTCATTGTCCTGTTGAAAAACAAATGATAGTCCCACTAAGCCCAAACCAGATGGGATGGCGTATCGCTGCAGAATGCTGTGGTAGCCATGCTGGTTAAGTGTGCCTTGAATTCTAAATAAATCAGACAGTGTCACCAGCAAAGCACCATCACACCACCACCTCCATGCTTCACGGTGGGAACTACACATGCTGAGATCATCCGTTCACCTACACTGCATCTCACAAAGCCACGGCGGTTGGAACCAAAAATCACCAATTTGGACTCAGACCAAAGGACAGATTTCCACCAGTCTAATATCCATTGCTCGTGTTTCTTGGCCCAAGCAAGTCTCTTCTTATTATTGGTGTCCTTTAGTAGTGGTTTCTTTGCAGCAATTCGACCATGAAGGCCTGATTCACGCAGTCTCCTCTGAATAGTTGATGTTGAGATGTGTCTGTTACTTGAACTCTGTGAAGCATTTATTTGGGCTGCAATTTCTGAGGCTGGTAACTCTAGTGAACTTAGCCTCTGATGCAGAGGTAACTCTGGGTCTTCCTTTCCTGTGCCAGTCCTCATGAGAGCCGGTTTCATCATTGCGCTTGGTTTTTGCGACTGCACTTGAAGAAACTTTCAAAGTTCTTGAAATGTTCAGTATTGACTGACTTTCATGTCTTAAAGTAATGATGGACTGTTGTTTCTCTTTGCTTAGCTGAGCTGTTCTTGACATAATATGACCTTGGTCTTTTACCAAATAGGGCTATCTTCTGTATACCTCCCCTACTTTGTCACAACACAACTGATTGGCTCAAACGCATTAAGGGGCGGCAGGTAGCTTAGTGGTTAAGAGCGTTGTGCCAGTAACCGAAAGGTTGCTGGTTCTAATCCCTGAGCGGACTAGGTGAGAAATCTGTCGATGTGCCCTTGAGCAAGGCACTTAACCCTAATTGCTCATGTAAGTCGCTCTGGATAAGAGCGTCTGCTAAATGACTAAAATGTAAGAAGGAAAGAAATTCCTCAAATTAACTTTTAACAAGGCACACCTGTTAATTTAAATGCATTCCAGGTGACTTCCTCATGAAGGTGGTTGAGAGAATGCCAAGAGTGTGCAAAGCTGTCATCAAGGCAAAGGGTGTCTACTTTGAAGAAACTCAAATATAAAATATATTTTGATTTGTTTAACACTGTTTTGGTTACTACATGATTCCATATGTGTTATTTCATAGTTTTGGTGTCTTCACTATTATTCTACAATGTAGGAAATAGTAAAAATAAAGAAAAACCCTTGAATGAGTAGGTGTGTCCAAACTTTTGACTAGTACTGTGTGTGTGTATATGTATGTGTGTATGTCTAGTGAATGTGTACATATAGTCTAGTGAAAGTCTAGGTCAGTGCAGATAGTTTGGGTACCATTAATTGACTATTTAGCAGTCTGGCTAAATAGCAGTCTTATGGCTTGGGGGTAGAACCTGTCTCGGAGCCTGTGGTCCGACAGTCAATGCTCTGGTACCGTTTGCCAGACGGTAGCAGAGTGAACATTCAATGGCTTGGATGGCTGGAGTCTTTGCCAATTTTTCAGGCCTTCCTCTGATATAGAGGTCCTGGATGGCAGGGAGCTCGTCCCCAGTGATGTACTGGGCTGTCTCCATCCCTTCATCCATCCCTCCTCCCTCACATTCATGACCATGTAGTGGAGTGCAACAATTAGAGTAGATGGTGTGTGAGAGAGTTGAATGATGTAACATGTACACTTTACCTGGCCAGCCCTTAGTCACTGTGTGTAGTGTCTGTTCTAAGAGCTCACTATTGACAACAGGCCCCAGGTCACTGTGGAGGATGCTGGCGATCATGATTTGAATGGCTCCTCCTCTTGACAAAAGGGTGGTGAAGGGGTTAAGTCCTTTGTGTGCTGTAGGTGAGTGGGTTTGAGTGCCAGGGGGGTGAGGACCCCCCCCCCCCCCCCCCCCTTTGAGCACTACTCTACACCCCCTGGCCTTATGCCCTCCTCTCTCACCCTGTGAGTGGCACTGCCCCTGCCCAGGGTCAGACAGGGCTCCCCTTAAACACACTCTCCTGGGCTGCTCTGTCCTCTTACCCTGCCTGGCAACCACATAGGGTGTCAGTTATCAAACATTAACTTCATTTCTATCCCTCAGCAAACTTATGAATGGATGGAAACAGGATTCTGTGGGTTTGTCCCTTTTCAAATGTACAGATTGTTAAAGAGTGTGAGGTTTGCATTGGTATTTGTTTTGATAGTCTCTATGGATAGACTGTGTGTGCGTGCTGGTGTGTGTATGCAGATGAGCCCCCACATTTCCACCTGGCCAGTGCCTGATAGAGGGAGATTGGATTGAGAGCAGACTGCTGAGAGCAGCTCTTTGAGAAGTTTCAGCTCTGAAAGCCAAGCAGCTTATAGCCATTCTAAAGGGACTGGAAGAATGCGGTGTGTGTGTGTGTGTGTGTGTGTGTGTGCTGGTCTGTCCTTCGGCCCGTGTGTGTGTGTTTTTTGTTTAGCCTCACACCTCTCTCTCCCCTGCTCTCTCCTCGCTCTCTCCCTCTCCTCTTCCCACAGCGATGGACTTTGTGAGCCAGGAGCGAGGTGAGATGACAATGCTGTACGACCTCTTTTTCGCCTTCATGCAGACCAGCCGCCACCGGGAGGCCCGCAAAATCATTGAGGTGGGACCGCCACGCCGCCGCCACACCACCACCATTGTGTTTGCACACAGCACACAGCTATTTAAAAAATACTTAATTAGATGGCAGTAATAAGTTCCCTCTTTTTAAATTAAATTGGGTCTAAATCTGAACTAATGCCATTTCCCACCAACACAATAGGCCAGCCGGGAGGGTGGGATGGGAGAGTGGTGGAGGCAGAGGAGTGTGTTTGAGCGTGTTCCGTGCTGGATGTGGCCAATGGTTTATATGAAAAGCAGTCACTTATTTCCCGTTTCTATTAAGAGATTGGAGCCAATCCTATCTCTGTGAATTTCCTGGGAGCTCACAGGTCAGGGGTTAAGCTACAGTTCTGATTGAAGGATTGACTGCGTTTGTATTTGCATATTAACTGGCTAGAGAAGACAGGCACATTCCTGAACACATTGCTGTATGTAGCTGTGGTGTTATCTGGTAGGTTAATGCCTTCAACTCTGGGGAGATGTTTAATGTCTCAGGAACCAGATTAATATGATATAGCCATTCTGAGATGGCCAGCGAACATAGTTTCAGGAGAGGGATGCTGATTGGGTTGTTGTGTGAGGTGGTTTCTGGTTAGGTTTAAGGGGGTAGGGTTAAGGGGGAACATCATTCGGGGGGGGTTCAGCAGAGCTGCACGTTGAAGATGTGTTTTGCGGCTGGAGTGGAGAGGAGCTTCTATTAGTTGAAGGTACCTAGGGAAGAAGAGCTCCGTACAAGTTCTGTTTCTGAGGCGCTTGATTCGTTTTCTGTGTCTTTTGTTCGTATCAGTCCGTCTGCCGTCTCTGCTTTCAGGCCGTTCCCCCGACACACACTTCAAACATGTGCAGCTCAGGAGTGTATTCTTCCTCACTGAACATTATTCAGACAAAACCATTCAGATGTTTAATTATCCAACCATTCTAATCTCCCAGCTCAATTCCCCTGTCTACTCTGTCCACTTGCATGACTGGATGGATACCAGTTAGTGCGGATTAGTGTCATGAGGTGTGTGTCTGTTTGTATTTTTGTTTTGTCATGAGGTGTGTGTCTGTGTGTTATATGTGGGGCCGAAGCTGGAATGCAGATGCTATAACCATATGTCTTAATGCAGAAATTAATTTGACCAAAGACACAATCCATCTTGTTTAGGATTACACCCTTACCATTTCCAGATCTGTGCCCTCATACAATCCTTATTCAAGTTAGATAGTTGTAGTGCTTGTTATTGTTGTTCTGGGCTGCAGCAGTCTGGCTGGCAGGCAGGGCCGATCCTCAGATCCTAAGCCTCTTCCTGGTTATTAAAAACTCATCAGATGAGGAGGCTTTGGTCCTGGGGGGATAAGATGAAAATGATGTCTGAGGATGGATCTACAGCAGAGGGACGGTCACTTGATAGGGAGGGGAGCAGGCGATTTAGTTATTTGGCCCTGAACGCCTTTTAATATCCTGATTCCTCAGGATGAGAATAATGCTGTCTGCTGGATCTGCGTGGTTCGCTCGCTCGCTCTCTCGCTCGCTCTCGCTCCACTCTCTCGCGGTCTCGCTCCTCTCTCTCGCGCTCTCCTCACTATCTCACTCACTCTCTCTCTCGCTCCTCACTATCTCACTCACTCTCTCTCTCTCGCTCCTCACTCTCTCTCTCTCGCTCCTCACTCTCTCACTCACTCTCTCAACTTTACCAGATCATCTATGTATCCTGGTCTCCTGGCCCTGGGACAGGGCTAGCCAAAAGCTGCTTGTCCCCTCTGCGTTTCTATAAGGAGGAATTAGGAAATGAACTATGATTCCCAAACCCTCTTAAATATTGACATGCTATTATTGTGTACTAATACCCCTGTAAGAATGGCACGCACAGTCCCTGTCCCATGTCATCTTAGAGGGGGAGGTTTGGACAAGCTTCAGATGATACCAGACCAACACAAAATATTTAGTATTATACATTTCAACTTCAATCTCTTCTTTTGGGTTTTTGTTTTGACCTGAAATGCCCTTCTTCAGTCCTATTGACGTTCTGCTGGTTTTGGATGTTTGTGATAATCTTTTTCAAATGTGGGCAGTTGGATTTAGGCCTGAAGGGGGTCCTCTGTCTGGTATATTGTGAACTTGTGACTCACTACATGTAGTTGTGTACTGTGGGATGGTTAATGTCTCCATGTTGAGCAGATTTTTATATTGAGGCTAAATGGAGAAGAGAACTCTCTACCTGGTCTGTCTATAAATAGCAGCGAAGTGGTCTCCTCATGTAGGACCGGTGGGTCAGAAACAGAAAAGGCTCTCGTTCCCCCAGCCAGATATCCTCTCCATGTGAACTCTGGCCCCTAACTCTGCCCACTAATTAAAATGAGTGATATCTGGGAGGTCAGATGGATGACAGAGATCTATCACAGAGACCTTTCCTCTTCAGAGTGGAGATTCAAGTGTCAGAACAGAGGGGCTAGCCGCTGACTCTGTTTTGTATAATTGCGAGGTGATTAATTGCAGATAATTAAATGAAATACAATAGAAATGGGTGCCACTTTTTGGTTATGGTTAAGGTTAGGTGGTTTTGTTAAGGGGTGGGTACCATTAGGGGTGTGTGTGTGTGTCGGATAAGGTGTATAAGTGGGGAGTATTAATTATAAGTGTCAAATACAAGGAATTGAGATTGTTGAGCGTAATTTGTGAGAGGGTGGTATGACTTTACGTGAGGATAGGTATAGAAAGGCTATGTGAGTTTGTGCAACAGTCACTACTGCATTGTCTTTGCTGTGTGTGTGATGTGAGCTTGTTGTGGCACTCTAGTCCAGACAGCGTATTCAAAGGGGCTGAGTTTCATAAGCCACAAAGCAGCAGGCAGGAGATTGTCTTAATAATCTGACCTAGATGTCCTTTTGGGGATTGGGATATGTGCTGGAAGTGAAAAGTAGAGAGTGAGTGTGTGTGTGAAGCAGGAGCTGGAGGAAGAGGGACTTATCACCATGGATTTTATGCCCAGGAAGATTTGCCCTCAGGGGGCTTAGATCCCTGGCTGGAGGGGGTAGCTAGCGGGGCCGGGGGGGGATTTCCTGTTCGGAGTAGAAAACAAATGTACCACTTGCACTCTGCCTTATTTACTAAGCAGATTAGACGCGGCGGCGGAGAACAGAACAAATTGTAATTTGTCCTTTGGCTGGTTGTATAAGACCATAATGCGTGGTCTTTTTTTGATCAAGTAGCCGTGGTATGATGTGGTCCTGCAGCACAGGGCCCGTCAGACAGGGGGATTGAGAGATCTTGGTCATAGACAGATTAACATGTCAGGGCAGAGTAGAAGAACCGAGGGACTATCTCATTCTGATTGACTGGAGCACTGATGAAATCCTGATCACTGTTATCCCATCTCTAACCCCTTCCACCCCACCCCTCCCTAGCCCATATGAACACGTATCACTCCAGAAATAGTGTGCTTATGCCACCCTCCCAGTGTGCGTGTCCAAAGGGCATCATACTATAGTATTATCCAGAACCATTATTATATGTCTCTGGTATTATCCATATACACCCTTCATCTTCTGTCTTTTCCATGGGATTCTGTTTCTGCTCATTCTGATCCTGTTGGATATTAAATACTTGAGTTGAGATATTCAGTTCTGGGAAATTACAGGAATTTATGGGTTTAATGTGTATTAAACCAAATACTCAATCGTATGAGATGGAGGTTCCAGTATGTTTCAGCTTGTTGCATTTTTGATGTACTCTGTACAGAAAGGTTTATCAGGCACTAGTTGATTCAACATAAACCACTCTGTATTTGTTTAAGTAAGTCCTTTCTGTTGTTCCCACAGACTCCAGGTTTAAGGGCTAGACCAGGACGCCTTCAGTGGTATGCTGAGAAATGCATTAACGGCAACCAGGTGAGAGGGAGACAACACACACACAAGCACGCACGCGCACACACCACATGTCTAAAGTATTGTGTCCCTGTGTAGATGGAGTCTTTGGAGAGCATGGTGGAGATGACAGCCAAGCTGTTTGAATGTGATCGAGATGAGATGTATCACTACATGCTGCGGCTCTGCAGTAAGTCCCCCTCAGCCTCCAACCGTACTCTTCTGACTGTCTGTCTTCCCCGTAGAGATCCTATTAAGTTACTATTCTATTAGTATTCTAATCTGGGTTGGGCTCAATTCTAATCGAAGGCAGTCAATTCAGGAAGTAAACTGAAATTCCAATTAAATTATTGAAAAAGGGCATCTATTTTTAATGACTTCTCAATGAACTGAAAAGGATCTGATATTTGTCAAAAGTTTTTAAATGTTTGGATAAAAAATTCTAATCACTTCCTGAATTGACTGCCTTCAATTCAAATTGAGCCCAACCCTGATTCTAATTCATAATTCTATGATCTTTCCTATATGGATGGACTGACTAGATGACAGATATTGTTAATCCACATTCTCCAACAGGGGAAATTGATGAACCTCACTTTACCCCTGACTGGTTATATTAAGCCCCTGTCAACTATCCCTAAAGCCACTACTACTTACCTCCATCTCCTCTTCTCATATGACCTTTTAACCTTTGCCCCCCAAATCCCTGGCAGCAATGTGGCGTGATCAGTGGTGTAACCCCGGGGCCATTTTGTGTGCGAGAGAATGGGGTCAGAATCCCAGTGTCCACAGATAGTGAATGATTAGATTACATCTCGTGATTGGAAGATTTTTGGAACTGTTTTCCCAATTCAGCCTGGGTCAGATAAAGCCTGCTCGAATACAAATCAAATCAAATCAGCCCAGAGTTAAGTGTCTGACTGAAGAATAATTAGCAGATTAGGCCTTTTCTGCCTTGATTGCTCTCTCAGCATTAAGCAGGATGTGTCAACAAGGAATCTTTGTGTGTGTGTGCGTGTATACACGTTTGTGTGCGTGTAATTTGTAAAAAAATGTAACCTTTATTTATCCAGGTAGTCTCGTTGAGAATAACATTTTTCAAGACGGACCTGGTGTGTGTGTACATATGATCATGCTCTTTCACACCTTCAGAGGACACAAACGACTGGCGCAAGGCGGAGGCCACCTGGACCAAGATGCAGGAGGAGAACGTGATACCAAGAGAGAGGACTCTGCGCATGCTGGCCGACATCCTCAAGAGTAATGGACAGGAGGTGCCCTTCGAGGTGCCTGAGGTAAAAAGCCTTCTGAAATCACCTACCGCTCTGCCACCGCTAGTAAGCACAGCTCTCCTTATATTTTTATTCAATCAAATCAGTAATTCCACAAATCAGTGTTTGCTTCATTAAAGCTCATCCTCTGATAATGTTCCGTTTGTTGCACAGAGAATAGCGGGCAGGACGCTACCTTTTAGTACCTCAGTGTGTTATAGCCGTCATTATCATTGGCTTGCCATGGTGCCCCCTCTGTCCTGGTTGACTCCTGGTTGGTTGAAATCCCTGAACTAGTCTGATTCTCCGCACATCTGGCCACAGTCAGTCTGAAACTGCAAATCCTTGTATTTTAGCTACATCTAGGGGAAATTGGAATTTGGGATGATCGTTGGGAAAATCTGACATTGGGACAGGAATTAATACTAGCCCCTAATGCCCAACTAATTCAGCCACTGCTAAATACCACCATGTCTGCTGCTTAGTGGACTTTAGCACAAGTCGCTAGAGGACTCTGGCAGAGGCTACTGGAAAGATGTGACCAAATTACCCAGCATTCTGTCCGCCTGACTGCACCGGTTTCCTCTGTTGATTCAAAATACATTATTTCTCCATTGGAATACATAATTTTCCAGCTTCCTTCCAGTTGTGTCCATGTTTGTTTGCTTGTTGGGGAGGCCTGGAGCCAGATGAGACTCAAAGTGATGGCATTAGCCCTTGGTGATGACCCTTGTGACCTGAGGCGCCCTGGAGTTGTCAACCCCCACACCCCCTTTTAGCCTCCCTGGCCCTTATGCCTAGCCTAATTTACCCCTGGCCAGCATAGCTTAACCCCCTCCCCCGGTCGCTGAACGGGTGACTGAAGATCGAGGGGCCCTACCCAGTCTACTAAACACACACACATCTCACTCAAAAAAGACGCATCACAATTCTTATACTTAACGGGAAATTTCGCATGATATGCGCAACAGGTTCCTGCAACGCGGGTATGATTAGATTGTCATTGAATAGGCCTATACCCGTGCTAGAGAGACTGAACGTCAAAGCCTACTCGCTGGCACGAATAGAAACCAGGACAAAACACCCCCACGTTTGTGTTTTTCCACGGAGTACAGGCTATGTGCCGGCCGCGTCAAATCCATTGAATTGAAACACTGGAACATCCCCAATAGTTATCCAAATCTACGAGAGTTCACAACATTGCCCCGTCGCATTTGTTTTCGCCTTACGCGCAATCTAGCCAATTCCGTTACGCACAGCATGCAGCTACCCAAGAAGCGTGACATTTGGCTCCCAGGCCCGCCCAATGGCAATTACAAGTGTGGCCACTGTGTACATTGTGACAATTCGACCAATACTAACATTTTTGACCACCCGGAGAAAAGGTAAAGAATACAAAATCCAAAGCTTCATTAATTGTAGCACCACAAATGTCATATACATGCTTAATGCATCTGTGCTGCTGTTTATATTGGTCAAACTAAACGAGCATTGAAACTTGGCATCGCAGAACATAAGGCTGCTATTAGAAAGAAAAAAAACGACTATGCTATGGCGCACGCCACTGCATCAAAGCCAACCATGGCTCACCTTCCTCCCTGCTCTTTGTAGCCATAGAACACGTCCAAATTTCACCAAGAGGAGGTGATATTGAACGTAAACTAAAACAGAGAGGCATTCTGGCAGTGCTCCTTAGACACTGTGGAACCAAAGGGGCTAAATTATGATTTTTCACTGTCCTCGTTTCTATAATGTTGTTGCCTTGATTTTTAAGTAAGTCCTTTCTGTTGTTCCCACAGACTCCAGGTTTAAGGAGTCTCTGTCTCCGGATTCACAGACACCCAAATATCACCTATGTATATTTTGACATGGCCTATTGATTGAGACACACTATTTAAGTTATTATTTTGTGCTATAATTTGCCATTTACCTTGAAACATATCATAATTTGTTTACATTGGGTCTCAATGGGCCACTAGGCTATAACTAAAGCTACTATATGTGCGATGGTCAGGTCACTTTGAGGAAGATGTCAGCTTGACGTTGAAACGTCCTTCACCTGTTCACATCCTGTACAATGGATTAAAGTGAGCAATAAGAAATCAATCTCTGACTTTTTTTGTAGAGTGCTCCAATTCCTTTTTACCTCAAATTAGTCCTTTTGGACGTTTTTCTTGGTAAACCATTCTGTGAAATGTCACATTAAGACTCTGTTTGTCTTTATGTTGTCCGAGGCACTTCTAGGACAGTGAGATGTTTTACACATAATTGGCCACAAAGAAGGCGGGGCTGGGTTTTGCCACATCCAGTGTATTGACGGGGTGGACGAGATCTGTAAATGAATGTAGTCCTGCTTTGTGGCATTTCGCGAAGCCTCTGTTATACCGATCACACACTACATATGTGTGCATTTAGTTGTGGTTGTCTTTGTTCGATAGAGCCTTTGGACATCTTTCAGCGATGTCCCTATCGGAAGATTCATTGCTAGAAATACAAAGTTACACGTTTTTTTCCAGCCTCTGAAAGACTACAGCTCGGTGTAGGGTGGTGTTTCCTGCTCTGGCCCCATCGTGCAGCGTGCATTCGCTATATGCCGGACCTTGTGGTACACTATGAGCAGACAAATACACAGGAAGTCGATACTTCCTGATTCTACCAGTGAAATGAAAATGCACTTGTTCTAGCTTGTGGTGAGGAGATTTTTGATGGTTATGATACAACGTAATGTTGTTAATATACTTCATCCTTCAGTCTATTGACCCGTGCGTCAATCCTAAGTAACATAATAAAAAAAATCACTATCAAAATCCGTCAGTTTAAGCTAGAGATATTTGCATGGGCTGCGTCTCAATCCACCGCATCCGCCTTTGTCTGCCTTCTGCGTCTGCGGAGGAAGGTTGCCGAGCTACAGCGGTGTTTGTCAGACTATGAGACATCCCGAAAATCGGTCTTCTCATGAAAATGTGTGTAGCGTCCGAACGGTTTGGCCTACAAACTAATATGGAAAGATGAGGACTACCACGAACACGGTGTTCTCCGTTTTGCTATACGACCCCCACAAGTCGTAACGCTTATATGCCAGCTTCTGTCTGTAGCATCCGAACCGTGTGGGCGACAAACTAACCCCACTGTGGAAAGGGGAGACTCACGATAGTGTTCTCCATTTTGCTCTACAACCCCCACAAGTGTCACGGGACTCATCTGAAGTTAACCCATACAAATTAATGGAAGTAGTTCTGTCCCTACAAAAATAAGGGGTTAAATATGTGTAAAACAAAAAAAAACATATTTCCTGAGCTTTCTTATATCTTTAGATATAGGACAGATGCATCAAAACCTTATTCCTAATTATTTACTTTTGGACTGTCTTTTTGCCATTTCTGAATGTGTTATTCAATACGTTTCTATGGGAGATAGTAGTAGTTTTTTCGGGATACCTAAAGGGGTCCTAAAATTCTAAATCAAATAGATAAATGATCCATGGTATGACCATCTTAAAACAATTCCATATGTTAGCTTAGTAGAACCCCCCCCCCCCCCCCCCCCCATAATGGCATAAACTTTTATAGGTTCATGACTACAGTGGGGAAAAAAAGTATTTAGTCAGCCACCAATTGTGCAAGTTCTCCCACTTAAAAAGATGAGAGAGGCCTGTAATTTTCAGCATAGGTACACGTCAAATATGACAGACAAAATGAGAAAAATTTTTCCAGAAAATCACATTGTAGGATTTTTAATGAATTTATTTGCAAATTATGGTGGAAAATAAGTATTTGGTCACCTACAAACAAGCAAGATTTCTGGCTCTCACAGACCAGTAACTTCTTCTTTAAGAGGCTCCTCTGTCCTCCACTCGTTACCTGTATTAATGGCACCTGTTTGAACTTGTTATCAGTATAAAAGACACCTGTCCACAACCTCAAACAGTCACACTCCAAACTCCACTATGGCCAAGACCAAAGAGCTGTCAAAGGACACCAGAAACAAAATTGTAGACCTGCACCAGGCTGGGAAGACTGAATCTGCAATAGGTAAGGAGCTTGGTTTGAAGAAATCAACTGTGGGAGCAATTATTAGGAAATGGAAGACATACAAGACCACTGATAATCTCCCTCGATCTGGGGCTCCACGCAAGATCTCACCCCGTGGGGTCAAAATGATCACAAGAACGGTGAGCAAAAATCCCAGAACCACACGGGGGGACCTAGTGAATGACCTGCAGAGAGCTGGGACCAAAGTAACAAAGCCTACCATCAGTAACACACTACGCCGCCAGGGACTCAAATCCTGCATTGCTAGACGTGTCCCCCTGCTTAAGCCAGTACATGTCCAGGCCCGTCTGAAGTTTGCTAGAGTGCATCCAGAAGAGGATTGGGAGAAAGTCATATGGTCAGATGAAACCAAAATAGAACTTTTTGGTAAAAACTCAACTTGTCGTGTTTGGAGGACAAAGAATGCTGAGTTGCATCCAAAGAACACCATACCTACTGTGAAGCATGGGAGTGAAAACATCATACTTTGGGGCTGTTTTTCTGCAAAGGGACCAGGACGACTGATCCGTGTAAAGGAAAAATGAATGGGGCCATGTATCGTGAGATTTTGAGTGAAAACCTCCTTCCATCAGCAAGGGCATTGAAGATGAAACGTGGCTGGGGTCTTTCAGCATGACAATGATCCCAAACACACCACCCGGGCAACGAAGGAGTGGCTTCGTAAGAAGCATTTCAAGGTCCTGGAGTCTCCAGATCTCAACCCCATAGAAAATCTTTGGAGGGAGTTGAAAGTCCGTGTTGCCCAGCGACAGCCCCAAAACATCACTGCTCTAGAGGAGATCTGCATGGAGGAATGGGCCAAAATACCAGCAACAGTGTGTGAAAACCTTGTGAAGACTTACAGAAAACGTTTGACCTGTGTCATTGCCAACAAAGGGTATATAACAAAGTATTGAGAAACTTTTGATATTGACCAAATACTTATTTTCCACCATAATTTGCAAATAAATTCATTAAAAATCCTACAATGTGATTTTCTGGAATATTTTTTCTCATTTTGTCTGTCATAGTTGACGTGTACCTATGATGGAAATTACATGCCTCTCTCATCTTTTTAAGTGGGAGAACATGCACAATTGGTGGCTGACTAAATACTTTTTTCCCCCACTGTATATACAGTGGCAGAGCTAAGGTGAAATTTTAAATGGACCATAACCTACACTTATAAGTATTATACCTACCAATCCTATCTTATCTTAGTACTACTTCTACTAAATACATCAGAGATTCACAAGAAGCCCTTCTCTGCAGCCAACTCAAAATGGCTTCCAGTTTCTCTCTCTCCATCAGTATAAAGCCACTGGTTGCCTGAGCTCATACGCTGCTCGTAAACCTCCCTCCTCACTCTCCTGTGAAACTCCACCTTGCGCTTCATTTCCATGTGTTTGTGGAACAGTCTGCGTTTCTCCTGCTTAGGCAGTTGTTGGTTGTGGTAGCAGAAGCTGGCCATGTTTAGGGACCGGGACTTCCAGTACCGCTCACAATCCCAGATCTCTGAGAAACCCAGGAGGACCCAACCTAAAGCCACATGTTCAACCAGTTCTAGATGTACCTTAATGCATTCTAAACATGGAATGTTGAGAAATACACATAAAAGGGAAGTGAACCAAATCCTAGTGAGAATACACTATTTCATTCTTACCATTGTCGATGATATTTGATGGTCTTGCAAGGAGATATTGATGTGCCAGTGCCATCCATGGTCCGGACTGATGAAATCGCTGGGTGTAGAAGTTCATTTTAGAAAATTGAAAATCTTAGATAGCAGAAGCAAGTCGTCTAGTCTTGGGGTTGTTGAAACCAAAACTGAGTTGCAAATCAATGCTGTGGCTCTTAACAACCAAGCATTCTAAATTCAAACATTCTGCCGACTTTCCTTTGGTTGATTTTGTGTTTTCACGATTCAGAATTCCCATGACAATGAAAAATAGTGAAATGAATGGAAGTACTGTGGAAGTACTAAAATCTGTTTTACATTGAACTCGACACAGACATGCACCAATCCCCCAGATATGTTATGAATGGGTTGTGATATGCAATTTGCGACTCTGTTTCTATACTTCATTGTAGAATTATGAAACACACACGTTCACTTGCACGCACGCACACACACACACACACACACACACACTTTTTTTATGGGATAAGCATGGATATGTCTGCTCTTGCGTTGCTATCGTTTGTGTATCATAGGGACCATTGTGTTTTTGTATCGTGTGAATATTGACCCATATGTTAGTGGCTGTTTTGATAGTTGTAATTCAGTGTGTTGTATTCTACCTTTCCATAGGTGTGGTATGAGCAGGCTGCAGACACAGAGGCACAGGCAGAGACCAAGCCTGTAGGGTCAAAGGGCAAAGCCACCAAGTCAGCCAGCACCCAGGCTGCTACTGCAGAGAACAGCCCTGCTGACTACCAGTTCAGACTTCTCACCCTCTGCAAGAAGGGCAAGGCTAAAGGTACGCAGCCCTGGGGAGTTGATATTGCTACCAGACCTCCATTGGTAATATTGGGGATTTCCTGAGCTTCTCCTAATACAGGATAATCTATTCTACAGACAGTCCCATGACAACTGAGACATGGGATGGTGATCTCTGATATCAATCCCTCTCTCCTGCTCCATTTCTCTTTCTCTCTTCCTCTGTCGGTCTGTCCAGAGGCCTATGGTATGCTGAAGGATGTTGATAGGAAGGGTGTGACCCTGGGCCCGGCCCCCTACGACAGTCTGATCCGGGCTCTGCTGGCCGAAGGTAGTATGGAGGACGCCATGGTGGTCAAAGAGATGTGAGTCTGTCTGTCCTGTGTGCGTGTCCGTCAGTCAGTCCGTCCTGTGTCCTCTCCCTCACTCCCCCTCTCTATCTGCCAGTCGATCTGACAAAGAAACCAACCGTGAATCCACACACTTTTACAGTGGGCTACTTCCACACTCAGAGCCAAAGTCTGGTTTGTCACAGGTTAAGCCTACAGTATACATGGCAGCCAGGGTTCTTGAATTAGGTTTGAGATTACAAAGTGATTGTGAATTGACCCTTAACCCTGCTGGATGTGAACAGCAGTGTTCTGCTAAGCCTCGTTAGCGCTTGAGCCCCTTCGTATCGCCACAGATTAATTAGGTTTTCTGGGAAGTGGATGACTGCGCAAAAAATGACAATCTTCTGCTGATTTAGTCATGTATCGTGTGTTTTTTTTTTGGGGGGGGGGGGGGTTGTCCTGGGATCTTAGTAGCAGGAGTTATCCTTTTAAAAAACGAGAGTGGAATTAGGTTCTCATCGCTCATAACACATGATCTGTCCCCTTGGAGCAGGAGAGTCTTTGTGTAATCCTCTCCTCCTTTCCTCTTCCCTTGCTCACTGCCCTGGGGTGGCTGTTGAACTTCCCTATGTGTGTCTGTCTGTGTGTTTATGAACAGTTAGCATAATTACCACAAGGACTCAACGCATACCTTCCACATTACACACATCACATCTCATCCCCACCTGTCCCCCTTCTCCAGAACTTTAGGTACCCCTACGTCAGGCCACTATAGGGTATGAGTTAACCCAGGTTTTTTGGTCCTGTGAGAGATCTTGGATTTATCAGAGAAGGGAGGGAGGGGGGTTGGTTTAATCATGTGGGAAGATGATCAAGACGCCAGTACAGTAATAATTCCCCTAGTGTGTGTATAAAGCCTAGTCTCTTGCGTGTGGATGACTTAGACACGGCTGGAGCCAGATGGGGCCCAAGGCTGGGTTGGAGAGAGGAGAAGGAGGAGGGGCTGCATCATAACTGAGCAGTTGGGCGCTTAGCAGAGATTAAGGGGATTGGGATGGAGAGAAATTAGGGAGGGGGGTCAGAGCAGAAGTTGGGTAGAGGAGGGAGACCCCAGAGAGAGGGTGAAAAGAGATGGATGGGGTGGCCAGAGGGCAGGGACAGGAGGGATTTTCTTTCCTTGGGATTGATAAGAATCACTCTGACCCCGAGGTTTCTGCAGCAATCTGTCCCGAGTGAGCGGAGGGCTGGCGGCCGGTCGGCACGGCGATAAGGAGCATGAGGCCAACGCTCAATTGAGCAGCCAGATTAATCCGGTCGGAGACTGTAATAATAAAAGAGAGATTGATTGAGGTATTAGTGGCTCTCAAATGAAAAAAAATAGGTCTGAAAGGACAAGGGGATCGCCGAAGGGATGGAGGGAAAGGGACATTACCTAGGGTCTCTGCACTGCAGCAACTGTTCTCTCCCTGCCCAGCCCCAGAGGAGAGACACAGCTGGAGAGGACACCTCAGAGGGAGAAGTCTGAACACCCTGTTTCATGTTTTACATTACATTTTGTAATACTTCTATAGCCAGACTTGATTGGCAATTGGACTCACTTTCACTCTGTCCCTCTGTTTCAGTCTGATTTTCCACTTCTCTCTATGCCCATTTCAGTGGAGTGGAGGGTCGTTCACCTCTGCTGTAAGGTTGAAGATTGTTGACTGATGTCTGTTCTTCTGTCTCTCTGTTCCTCAGTGCCTTAGGCCGTGTTCCAGGGTTCAAGCTGAATGACATAGCTAACAGCCTCCTCATCATCACACAGGTCAAGAGAGGGCTAGCCAAAGGTGGGTTTTTGCGTCACACACACACACAACACACACACACTGAGTTTCTTTGTTGCACACATTCTGTTGCCTTCCTCTCACCCCTAGATGGCCTGTCCACGCTCAAGTCCATGCTGCAGGGAGACCAGGTGCCCTCAAAACTGTCCGTCACACGATTGGTGCAATCCCTCGGGAGCCATGGGGATGTCCAGGGCATCCAGGAAGTGGAGGTTCTGATGAAGGGGTTGGGCACACCCCTCAACCTCTCCAGCATGGTCTTTGTCAACAACACTGCCCTGGCACACATCAAAAAGTAAGGTTCATCTAACTCACCTACTTAGCACTCAATCGCTCCCAGCTTTATGAAGGGGTATTGTCATGCCGTTTTCATGGGCTTCAGTAGCATTGCAGTAAACCTGTTTCTTTATTCTCTCTGTTAACACTTGGTTGCAGGGTTAAAAATACCCTGGCCTCCAATATACAGCAGGGTTCCCCAACTGGTGGCCCGTGGGCCGAATTTTGGCACCCAATTTATTTGGCCCCCAAGTTTTCTGAGCAATTTTTTCTATTGTTGTACATAAAAGACTATAAAAACACCAGGAAATCAGCTCCAAATGATTTTAATTTTGGAAGTGTGTTCCAAAGTATTCCCATGCATAATAGAGAGATGTGATCGTATACAAATAATAATTGATTGGATTTATATAGCACTTTTCTACCTACTGAGGTACTCCAAGCGCTTAGTGCATTCGGAAAGTATTCAGACCCCTTGACTTTTTCCACATTTTGTTACGTTACAGCATTATTCTAAAATTTATTACATCGTTTTTTTCCCCTCATCAATCTACACACAATACCCCATAATGACAAAGCAAAAACAGGTTTTTAGACATTTTAGCAAATTCATAAAAAACAAAAAACTGATATCACATTTACATAAGTATTCAGACCCTTTACTCAGTACTTTGTTGAAGCACCTTTGGCAGCGATTACAGCCTCGAGTCTTCTTCGGTATGACGCTACAAGCTTGGCACACCTGTATTTGGGGAGTTTCTCCCATTCTTCTCTGCAGATCCTCTCAAGCTCTGTCAGGTTGTATGGGGAGTGTCGCTGCACAGCTATTTTCAGGTCTCTCCAGAGATGTTCAATCGGGTTCAAGTCCGGGCTCTGGCTGGGCCACTCAAGGACATCCAGAGACTTGTCCCGAAGCCACTCCTGCGTTGTCTTGGCTGTGTGCTTAGGGTCGTTGTCCTGTTGGAAGGTGAACCTTCGCCCCAGTCTGAGGTCCTAAGCGCTCTGGAGCAGGTTTTCATCAAGGATCTCTCTGTACTTTGCGCCGTTTGTCTTTCCCTCGATCCTGACTAGTCTCCCTGTCCTTGCCGCTAAAAAACATCCCCACAGCATGATGCTGCCACCACCATGCTTCACTGTAGGGATGGTGCCAGGTTTACTCCAGACGTGACACTTGGCATTCAGACCAAAGAGTTCAATCTTGGTTTCATCAGACCAGAGAATCTTGTTTCTCACGGTCTGAGTGTGTTTAGGGGCCTTTTGGCAAAACTCCAAGCGGGCTGTCATGTGCCTTTTACTGAGGAGTGGCTTCCGTCTGGCCACTCTACCAGAATGGGAGAAACTCCACCAAATATAGGTGTGCCAAGCTTGTAGTGTCATACCAAAGAAGACTCGAGGCTGTAATCGCTGCCAAAGGTGCTTCAACAAGGTACTGAGTAAAGGATCTGAATACTTATGTAAATGTAATATTCCAGTTTGTATATTTTTTATAAATGTGCAAACATTTATAAAAACCTGTTTTTGTTTATCATTATGGGGTATTGTGTGTAGATTGATGAGAATATTTTTTTTTAAAGAGTCAGGACAGCCGTTTTAACGTCCCATCCGAAAGACTGCCACCCTACGCAGGGCAATGTCCCCAAATGTAATTAAGGTTTGAAATGATTGTTTTAGTCAAATATGATATCTGTTTGGCCTTCTTGTTGTCAATTTGCAGTCTAAAAATGTTTTTTTATTATGTTCCGGCCACACGACCATCTGCTCAAGAAAAATTGGCCTGCGGCTGAATCCAGTTGATGATCCCTGACCCAGAGGGTTAACAATACCCTAGGGGAATACAGCACACACAATGGCCCGGTTAACATTGATGTGCTCACGCAGAGGAATGTTTATGAAGAGGTTGCCACAACCAAATAGGCTAAACTCACCAAATCTGAACAACCTAACCTGGCACCCCAACAAGCTAATAACACTTAACCCTTCTCCACCCTCCCTTCCTCTCCTTCTCCCACATCCATCCCTCCCTCCCCCTCCCTCCCTGTCCTTTTCTGCCCTCCTTCCCTCCCTCTACCTCCCTCCCTCTCCTTCTCCACCAGCCCACATTAAGATTTAATCTGGGCCTGAATTCATTGTGATCGCTGTGACTGAGTCTGAATAATTTACAGAGGTCCATCTCTAAATGTGGCGCTGCTTTCTGGACCCTTCCCTCTTAACCAGTCAGCTCGGCTCAAGTCGTGCCATCCCACACGTGTCACAGCAGCTTAGGCCGATAGGGTTGGGGGGGTCAGAGTTCATCCTGACAGGCCCAGGCGGGCGAGAGCAGGGAGCGCTGCCCAATCGGGCATGAGTGCCTTTTCACTTCCGCTGTCCTATCATCCTGCGTCTCAGCTCTGGGAGCTAGGCGGGGATGACACCCCCATGCCACCGTTAGCGGCAAGAATGCTAATGCGGCCGATAAAAGTTTGATGCACTTTGTTTTTCTCTTTCTCTCTGTTTGGACAAATGAGGAGGAGGAGTGAGGAGGTTCTCTGCTACTCGCATATTTAGAGAATATTTAATCATACCTCCCTGTATGCCCTCATCGACCTCTATCTCTGTCACTGTGGTGTTTTACTGGTTATTTCTTTCCCAGAAAGTTCTGTTGCTGCTACTTCCCCCAGCAGATACATTGAGGTCTCAGTGAATCAGTGAAGAGACTGGAGTCGGTTTCTTTCTGTTTTTGACCTAGCTAAATGCCTATCTTTTCTGTCTCTCTCTCTGTCGCTCTCTCAGTGGAGACTTGCACTCTGCAGTGGAGGGCTTGGAGGCTGTCTACACACAGGGTGATGGGCCTCAGGGTCCGGCTGCCAGCATGGCCTTCGTCTTCAGGAAGGTGCTGGAGGAGAACAACGGCGCTGCTCTGGATAAATGTAAGGAACACCGACACCCGTATAACCTCAACCGCCCACCTACACACAATGCAGTAAAACAATGTGTCTTTAATGTCCAACACTGTCCCCACTTTCATATATAATTTACTGCAGTAGTTGATACTCTTGGAACAGCCCATCCGCAAGCAGCGTACCAACCTGTATACCCTATAAGATCAATCTTCTCATTAACCTTGCTGAGTGAGATCTATGTTGATTGTGACCCTGTCTGTGTCTCTGTGTAGTGAGTGCCATGGCAGAGAGGCTGGCCAATCACTTTTCATCGTACAGAGCTGCGTCAGACCTCTTCCTACAGCTGCTGGAGGCTAACATGGTAGAGGACGCCAAGTTCATGCTGGCCGTAAGTATCCCACTCACCCAGTGACATCAGCCAGTTTCAACTATTAGTCTGTGGGTGTAGCGCTCATGGCTGGCTGTCTGTTTGTCTGTTTGTCTGTGTGTGATCATGTGTGCGCAAACATTAGGAACACCTGGTCTTTCCATGACATAGACTGACCAGGTGAATGCTATGATCCCTTAAGTCTGTGGGTGTAGCTCTCGTGGCTGGCTGTTTGTCTGTGTGTGTGTTCATGTGTGCGCAAACACGATTTTGAGCCCGATTTAGCAGTCCCAGACAAGTTTTTGAGATCGGAGACTAAATCCCCATGTCGTTGCCTACTCGGGACGCGCGGCTGTCACCGATGCTCGTTTAATGTGAGCGGGTCACAATCTGAGGGCTACCAATCTCGTCTTTGAGCAGTCCCAGACATCCTGATATTTTCAAACATGTTTGATTTTATCGGCACAAAATCTGCAATGCTCTTGTAGTGTGAGATGTGCAACGACAAGTTTTGAGAACGATGATCAGCAATGGCCAATGAGAGCTCGCCGGAGAAGAAACCAGTGAGATGATGAAGTTGTTTTTCATCACCCAGAATGTGTAGACTCTTGAGCAGGAGTGATGACTAGGACTACTACTAGGACTACTACTAGGACTACTACTAGGACTACTACTAGGACTACTACTAGGACTACTACTAGTATGTGTTTGTTCTTGCCAAAGTGTCAAAACGTTCACAAGCAATGTTATTCGATTCAAAATGTTGGCTAGATATTTCAACTCTTTATGGAAAGCGTGAATGTCTGACTGAAAACGTTTGCGGATGCTTTGAGCCAAATCTCGTTGTAGCTACGTTAAATTTTATCACATCACATTGTTTTCACGAGACAGTGTGGTATCGAGAGTCCTCACGACCAAGTGAAGAATCTTGTAGTGTGTGACTCCCCCCCCCCCCCCCCCATCTGCCATATCGTTTAGTGTGAGCAACACTACCTTGGCAAGACGAAGAAAACTACAGGAAAGATGGTTGTTTAATGTGAGAGGTTCAGTGATTTTAGGATTTGGAAGTTGTGTAGTGTACACCCGGCTTTATTGATGGCACTTGTTAAATCCACTTCAATCAGTGTAGATGAATGGGAGGAGACAGGTTAAAGAAGGATTTGTAAGCCTTGTGACAATTGAATGGGCAAGACAAAATATTTAAGTGCCTTTGAACAGGGTATGGTAGTAGGTGCCAGGAGCACCGGTTTGAGTGTGTCAAGAACTGCAACACTGCTGGGTTTTTCACGCTCAACAGTTTCCCCGTGTGTATCAAGGATGGTCCACCACCCAAAGGATATATAGATCACATTCACGTCACATAAAGGTCGATGAGTATAATTTACTTTGAAAATATGCAAGATGGATCGGTTTGCTCAGTTATATGTAATTTAAATGTTGCTCGAGCCACATGAACGTCAAACGAGACCGTCTGGTGCCACACTCCTCCAGATCATGTTCCCCTTGAATTCACATGTAATTATACTGCTGCTCAATGATTAACAAGATGGTTGATTCCAACAGAGACATGAAAATGAACACAGATACTAATCTAAGTTTATAAGAAATTAAAGCCAAATTAAAATAATCTGTGTTTCGTGTAATATGCATCTACTTGAGCATATGTAGCAACTTTGCTGGCATTTCTGCAGGCCTACTGCCTCCTCCTCTTCAAGGTTTATTGTAAGGTAACAGGGGAACGATTCTATTTTAGAAGAAACTGTTAACTAAACTCTGAAAAGCTTTTAACGAGGCAGATGACAAGTGTGTTGATTGAAATCATTAAGAAGTAAATCGGACCAGAAGTCAGTGAGGCAGGGTCCTCCCAGACCTACTCTGGGAGGTTGGGGTTCGGGGTAGAGATATTCTGACATTCCCAGCTTATCCAGAGCTTTTAAGCAGTCGTGAGGGAGTATGCTCGTCCGGGATCAGGGATACAGGGAGGTTGCGTCACGGCCAGTCTGGCTTTTGGATAAAACAGGTCCTAGCGGAGAGAGAGAGAGAGAGAGCGACTGGAGAGAAGAGAGTGGGGGAGTGTAAGTGAAGTGGAATAGTGTTGTTCTAATTGCCTGATTGTACTAAAGCCATTCTGCCGCTGAGTGACTCTGGCCCTCTGTTTAATACGCTGCTACACTGCGCTGCGGTTAAAAGCCTCCGAGGCCTCTGCTTTTAATTCCACCCAAGGAAAGAAACACATGCCGTTCACGAATGGCTTGTAATGTGACCTCATTGCCACTGAACCCAGAGAAGACTCGGAGCACGGCAAGGTTTAATGCAGCACTCGGAGAGACACACACACTTTTCATAGTCTTTACTTCTTACCTATTTTTTAAGGTTACATCTTCAGCCCAAAGCAAATCTCTCAATTGTTTTATATAAAAAGTATTTCTAAATCATCACCCTGCATTTAAAATGGCTGCTTTGAATGCTTTGTGATTTATTTATTTTCAAATAAAGAGCCTGTTTCCATACATTCTTCCGTAGGTTTGAACCCTGGTTGTTTCTCTCATTCTCCTTGTTATGAGAGCTACTTCCCCAACCTCACTTCCTGCCTCTGGTAATTGGCTAATGACAGAAAGTAAAGGTGGTGAAGTAAATTACCCACTAGAATGCTACGGCGTAGTACAGATTCCAATCAGCCCCTTTATGTTGCTAAGTGTAGATAATTATACTTTAAAGTGAACAGGCACTGTACATTAAAATTTTATAAAGAAATCAGTAGTTATCTGGCTGACACCCTATTAACGGTGTAATTAACCTATAACTGCAGACCGTTGTATGGAGTGCAGGGAGATATAATGAAAGGGCTAAAGCAATTCAAAAACACTTAAGAGCACAAAACGCACGGCACCTCAAATAGAAACCTGTTCACAAGCAGAGATGCACTCCTACAGTACATGTACACTTGTTTACATGTCCCTGAATTGCTGTGTCTTTGTGTGGTTGTATGCACGTGTGTATGCCTGTATTTGTTTCTACACGGTAGTTAGCTAGGTTTCCATCTAATTGGCAAATATTCTCAAATCCCGCATTTTCCCACCAGAGATGTTTCCATCAAATGTACTTGTTGTGGATGAAAGGCTGTGCGTGACGGCGTAGTGCACATCAAAATAACTTTTGCGGTTAAAATCCACGTTTTTTTTACATCGCATTTTCAACTCTACTGATGGTTTTGTCACTAAAAATGTTGCATTATAGCAAATGTGCTCACTGGTCTTGGCACTTGTGCTCTAGCCAACATATTGCAGACACAGGGCAGGTAGGCTACCTACGTGATGAGATTATGGATAAGAGCCAGATAATTTTTATTTGTCAAACGGCAGCCAAGCATCGATCATCATGTCACCAGAATAAGACCCTTGATATTAATTGGAAAGGAGCATCAAGCTTATCACCGTGCACTTTCACCACCCTGTGAAGGTCATCATAACTTGGTTTTTATATGGAGCCTAATAAACTGCATGGTTTCCCAAGTAGTGGGAGGACCACACACCATATCGCATGACCTGAAGTTTACTTCGATATGATGGTTATTATATCAATTATATCTACTGCCATTTCTCGCATAATTAATTTTACAGACACAAAAAGATCCCATCTTGTCTAGCATATTCGGTTTTGTCCACCTATGGAAAGTTAACCGACAAATTATATGTTTCCATCACGCCTGTCGTGACATTGTTTTTATCCAACATGTACTTTACTCACATAAAAAGGTTGGACGGAAGCCTGGTTAGTCATTGTTGTATTCATGACTCTGTTCTCACCTGTCTCTCTTCTCTTTCCATAGCGCTGTAATGCTGTGGCTGAACAGAAGGAGATTCTGGTCTCTTACATGTCCAGGCTGGCCCAGAAACCAGGCCAGGTACAACCAGCTCCTCCAACCAGACTAGATCATATCTGAACCAATGGGTTATTTATTATTTTCCTTCATTTAAAGTGCCTGGAGAAATTCATCATCATTATATTTTACATTTGAGTCATTTAGCAGATGCTCTTATCCAGAGCGACTTACAGGAGCAACTAGGATTAAGTGCCTTGCTCAAAGGCACATCGACAGATTTTTCACCTAGTCTGCTCAGGGATTCTAACCAGCGACCTTTCGGTTACAGGCCCAACACTCTTAACCGCTAGGTTACCTGCCTCCCTATAGTATTATCATATAAGGAGTGTTATGACTTTGTGGCATCTATCTAACTCTGTCTATCTGTTATAGGTGGGCAAGATCAAGACCCTGATGACTCTCATCCCAGACTTCACAGAGAAGGAGACATTGTATCCCTACCTGATGAAGTGCTATGGTAAAACGTTGTGTAAAGCCACGCTCAGACTAGAGTAGGGATCGTCAACTAGATTCAGCCGAGGGACGATTTTTTTTCTTGAGCGGGTGGTCAGGGGGCTGGAACATAATTACAAATAGTTTGTAGACTGCAAAGTCACCGCAAGAAGCCCAAACTGATAATATTTGACTAAAACATAATCATTTCAAACCTTGCTTTCATTTGTATACGATCACATAAATCTCTCTATTATGTGTGGGAATACTTTGGAACAGGTTTCCCAAATGTAAATCACTTGGAGCTAATTCGCTTGGTTTTTTATGTCCCCAAAACATAACAAAAAATTAAACATATTTTTTGGGAGGGGGCAAATAAAATCACCCACGAGCCAAATTCGGATCGCAGGCCGTAGGTTGGGGAACCCTTGACTAGATCATTTACCATTTGACATAATGCACTCATACATAGGAAATACTCAATATAAATGGTCAACTTATGTATTATACTGTAATTTTGCACGATGCAGTCAAATCACACTAAATTTAGTGATGTTGGGTAGAGGACGCCACACATTGTTTGAAGAGGACAGGATAATAAGCTTTGGTACATCAGTTCGGTGCTCGGCTCCCTGGCCTGTCTAAGCTATAGTGGGGGAACTTAAACAGGGTGCGTCGTTCGGCTTGCTGGCCTGTAGCTAAGTCGTCATTAGCTAGCAGATCAAATATGCATGAGGCAAGAGGGAGCAGACAGCGTCTGCTGGAACCTGAGAGGTGTTTTTGGAGAACAGGAACACATGTTCACTAATGACTGGTTCTGCTTCAGCCAGTGTGGCGTGCTAAACGCGACACGCTGAACTACTTCAGGCCTTCTGTTCCTCACAGGGAGCATGACTATTTTATTAGCGCTAGTTCTCCTGGTGGTCAAGAAGTGGTCAGAGGTAACAAAGTGGTACAATTAACACTTCTCTTTGTCTTCTGCTTTTAGTCAACACATTTTTCTGTTTTTCTCTTTCCTTCAACACTTTTTGACCTCACGCATCAACTTTCTCACTCTTGGAAATGCATCCACACACACACACAAACCCAGGTGTGGACAACGACCTGCCGTCAGCTAAGACCCTGTACCAGCAGATGCAGACGGAGGGAGTGGAGGCTGATGAGCTGTGTCTGAAGAGACTTGCCGTGCTGTACAGGAACGCAGGAGAGACCGTCCCCTTTACTGAGCCCCCTGTGAGTGCACATACATAGACACACTGTGCTCTGCTTGCCACCTCAATGCCATAATAGTGTCTATGTCATGAGCGTTAAACTAGGAATATCATTTGGTTGTTGGAAAGAAGATCCAAACCTGACTGCAATGTCATACCCACAAGACTGTCCTAGTGCTGAGGTCTTGTATTGTCTACTGGGCTACAGAACAACAAATCACACTCTTACATATACTCTCACAAAAACACACACATGCAGTATACCCGGCCGCACAAACCCCAGCCCTAACTGGGGTTGGCATCTTTTCCACTGGTGACCTAATGTCTGCCAGGGTGTGTGTGTCTTGGTGGGATCACTGGGCGTAATCAGAGCCAACAGTCTGCCTGCTCCGAGAGCCTCAATTCAGAAGGCCTCTGCTCCATTCTCTACATGTTTGTGCTTTTATCTGGGGTTTTGTGGCTTGCATTGGATTATGCCTGCAGTCGTAACCTAACACATTACTATGTATTACATTTTTACATTTACATTTTAGTCATTTAGCAGACGCGCTTATCCAGAGCGACTTATAGTTAGTGAATACATATTTTTTTATACTGGCCCCCCGTGGGAATCAAACCCACAACCCTGGCGTTGCAAACGCCATGCTCTATCAACTGAGCTACATCCCTGCCGCCCATTCCCTCCCTTTCCCTGGACGACGCTGGGCCAATTGTGCGCCGCCCATGAGTCTCCCGGTCGCGGCCGGCTGCGACAGAGCCTGGATACGAACCAGGATCTCTAGTGGCACAGTTAGCACTGCGATGCAGTGCCTTAGACCACTGCGCCACTCAGGAGACTATACAGTGATATCTGTTTTTAATAATAATATTATTATTATTAATATTATTATATCTGTTTTGATTGCAGTGGTATTCTTTTTTTTTTTGTTGGTGCAAGTCTTTGGTTGTTTGGCACAGAATGATGTCAGTGAGTTGTGCACTATGAGGTTGTAATGAGCTGGTAAGAGAGGTAGGGAGTTATCAGGTACAGCACTTGAATCATAGGACATTAAGGTACATTAACACAACACCGGCAAATTGGCAATCAGCCAAAGTATTCACACTGCACTCCAGGAGTTCTCACTAACTAGGTCAACCACTTGAGTTGTTTACATTGCCCTGCACACACACACACACACACACACACCCCTGCAGAGCAGAATCTGTCAATGCCATGTCCCCTAGGGGGGTGTAGAGTCACCCTGAAGCCCCACCCCCTCACCCACAGAGATGCAGAGAGAACTCACATCACAGGCTCACTGCATTATTCACTATCTGCCGGAAAGGTACAGCCACGTTGCAAAACTACCACAGTAGAGTGGGGGGGTCAAACATAACCCCCCCACCCCCTTATCCTTCTGAGAACAGTCTTCAGAGCTCTCAAATCACCTTTAAAGTTTCAACAAACCAATCTCAGGTAGTGCCCCCCTTCCCTACACCCTCTTCCACCCTCCTGTTTTCAGACTGCTGTTCTAGCTGGAGTACAAAGCGGTCTCCTGAGAGAGCAGATAAGGGGAGATTTGAGGCGCGGCCCGCGTCAGGCCCTCTCGCCAACACGGCTATTTATCTACTTTAATTACACGGTTAATAGGGGAATATACAATGTTACAGCAACGTTAATCTCCTGAAAGCACTCACCTTCCCAAAAAAGCCCCACTTTTTTTTCAGCCTGAAAGCAGGACTTAATTAGGCGGACTAGAGGGAGGGGAGGAAAAGTGTAAATCCCTTATTTGTGTATTAATCAGGATTTGGAGATGAAACAAGAGCCCGTGATTGGATGGAGAAGTCTATTAGTTAGACCCAGGGGTGCGGTGGACTTGTTGAAGGGGGAGTGAGCCCTGGCTATGATTTGCGATACACACACACACACACACACACACACAAACAAATACACTAATACAGTCCACACCCACACTGTGTTAATTTGTAGATTGTACAGACTTTGGTTTTGGTTGTTCCCTATCATATACTGAATATCTGTTACTATGAACTGCGTCTGCTAAATTACCATATTATTAGATTACTATCGGTTAACTTTTATTTTTTGATCCCCGCTTTCCAGGAGACGTTTAAGTTTTATGCAGAAAAGCTGAAAGAGAAGTCCAAGGGATCGCAGCCGAGCGCCGCAGTAGAGGAATAAGACTATTGCTACTCTTCTTCATTCTGTCCTTTTTGTTTTGTTGTAGTTTTTTTTTAAATAAGCTGTGGAAACAGATCTTGTGGAATACTTTCCAGTATTACTGTGTTATTGGATGTTAAACTCTGCCCACCCTGTTGATTTATGATGATAAAAATTGATGTACAGAAGTATTTATGCAATAAATGTTAGGAACTAGACTGTGACTCTTTATTTTTATTTTTATGGCGACACTTTACAAAGGGAGACTGTGTACATGTAGGTATCTATGTACAGTACCTTTTGTTACAGCCTGAATTCAAAATATTATAAATTATTTTTTTTATCTCACCCATCTACACACAATACCCCATAATGAAATGTTTTACATTTTAATCATTTAGCAGACGCTCTTATCCAGAGCGACTTAGTGAGTGCATACAATTTTCATACTGGCCCCCCGTGGGAAACGAACCCACAACCCTGGCGTTGCAAGCGCCATGCTCTACAAACTGAAAACATGTTTTTAGGAATGTTTGCTAATATATAGAAAATTAAATATAGAAATATCTAATTTATATAAGTATTCACACCCCTTTGCTATGACACTCCAAATTGAGCTCAGGTGCATTCAATTTCCTTTGATCATCACTGATGTCACTACAACTTGATTAAAGTCCACATGTGGCCAATTAAATAGTTTGGACATGATTTAGAAAGAAACACGTGTCTTTATAAGGTCCCACATTTTTGAAAGTGCATGTAAGAGCAGGAACTATAGGGCATAAAACAATTTCTAGAGTGTTGAAAGTTTCCACAGTGGTCTCCATCATTGAAAATAGATGGAACTACCCAGACTCTGCTTAGAGCTGGCCGTCCGAACAAACTGAGCAACCGGGCAAGAAGGACCTTGGTCAAAGAGGTGACCAAGAACCCAATGACCACTCTTGGGGATGTGCTGTAGAGACTGACAGAGTTCCTTGGCTGAGATGGGAGAACCTGCCAGAAGGGCAAGACTCTACAGCACTTCACCAATCTGGGCTTTATGGGAGAGTGGCCAGACGGAAGCCACTCCTGAGAAAAAGACATGACAGCATGCCTGGAGTTTGCAAAAAGGCAAGTGAAAGACTGAGCATAAGGCAAAAGATTTTGAAGCATAAGGCAAAAGATTGTGGTCTGATGAGACATTTACTATTTGGCCTGAATGCAAAGCGCAATGTCTGGAGAACCAGGCACAGCTCAACACCCGTCAAATACCATCCCTACCGTATAGCATGGTGGTGGCAGCATCGTGCTATGGAGATGCTTTTCAGTGGCAGGGACTGGGAGACTGGTAAGGATAGAGCCAAATACAGGCAAATCCTTGAGAACCTGCTTCAGAGTGCAAACAACAGACTGGGGGGCGAAGATTTACGTTCCAACATGACAATAACCCCAAGCATACAGCCAAAGCAACGCTGGAATGGCTTCAGAATGTATTTTTCTTTTTTTTTTTTTTTTTTTACATTTACATGAAAGTCATTAAGTGGCCCAGCCAAAGCCCAGACTTGAATCCCATTGAAAATCTGTGGAAGGACTTGATTGCAGTTTACTGCCACTCCCCATCTAATTTAACAGAGCTTGAGAAAATCTGCAAGGAGAATGGGAGAACATCCCCAAATCCAGATGTGCAAAGCTTACACACAGTTATGACTAGTCTAAGACACTGACCTCTGAACTTGCATTAAGAATATTCGTTTTTCTTAAGTCAAGTTTTAATATCCCTCAGATCTCTCAACTCTTGACCCCTAAATTGCATACATGTATGTAAGGAAGACAGGTTTATTCTATGGCAGTATTAGACTGGATATGATTACATGTATGGAATCGTAAGGGGCACAATGTGAACATACCTCAAGCGGATGTACTTCAGTTGATTTAATCCTTTAATCCAAAACATGGCCGCTGTACATTTATCAGGCTTTTGTACCACTGCAAAATGTACATAATCTCCCAATCTACAACGCCAACCCCTTTTCAGTGTGACTTTACCAAACCTCTCACTAGCTTTTACTAGACCCTCTACTGGCACACATATTGTTAAGCTTAATAACCTTACATATACAAAAAAGATTAAGCGCTGTAAAAACAAAAATAAGAAAAGAGATTGAAAATGGAACAAGCAAAAGCTTGAGTGGCGCTCTAATCATTTGCCAAGATAAAATAAAATAAAACTCCCTAATTGAAACTCATTTACACAGAATGCAGTACTTTGCTGCCATCGAACGGCAGAGGGTGGTACTGCAACAAGAGCATTGGTTCGTTTTACAGTCCGTTTAGGATGAGACGAGACTGGTTTCTGTATCCATGCTTTCACCAGTCCTGGCTGGACTTCTGCTTGATGAATTTGAGTGACAGGTAGTAGAGCAGCATGAAGCCCACTACGACAGCAATGAGAACCAGGTAGCAGGAGTAGAGAGGGTACTGGTTCATATCCATCGCTTCCACCACCTGGACAGAAACAAAGGTAAAATATATCATCATTATACTATATGGTTGGTCCTCTGTAGCTCAGGTGGTAGAGCATGTTGTTGCAACTCCAGGATATTGGGTTCGATTCCCGGGACCACTCATACATAAGTGTATGTACACATGACTGTTATTCGCTTTGGATAAAAGCGTCTGCTAAATGGCAAATATTATATATTTACAGTACATGTGTGTCCCTACAGTCACGGTTGAAGTGTAGTCGTCTCACACTGGAGAGCTATGTATCTAATGACTCACATGTATGCCATCGATGTTGAGGGTGAAGTTGCCGATGGAGACGGGGTACTTGAGTCCCCTGAACTGGACCTGTAGCATGCCCTCAAAGCCCCAGCGCATGAAGGAGGCATGGGAGAACCAGGACGCCACTGAGGAGAGACACACAGGTCAGAGGTCACAGATGTTGCAGAGTAGACACGTTACACACAAGATGAAGGGTCCCATATTGTCAAGATCATGTAAACTCTCATATGTTTCTAAGGGATTGGGATTGCTAGTATTGAATGTCGCACCACTGAATCTTCAGCCATAAATGTACGAGGACCACAGCAGAGACTTGTGTCCTCCTCACCTAGCCACATGTTCTCCAGGCTGATGACGAAGCCTCCAGTGAGGTAGAACACAGTGAACATAGCATTGCCCATGAAGGCTGATGTCTGTAGGGTGGGCAGGGCTGCAGCCACAAACAGAGCCATGCTGCGGCTGCAGTACACCATGAGCCACACCAGCAGGAAGTTGAGCAGGAAGCGGTCCGGGGCCTGGTTCAGGCCAGCCAGCCAGTAGATGGGTAGGCCGTAGACCAGCGTGAACACACAGTGCTCCGGAAGCTCCCCCAGGACCTGGGTGAGACATACGCACACAATTACGTTTCTGCATCACATTAACTGATATACTCACTAACACCTGCTTACACTGGACCACAGTTTACATAGCATGTAAATACTGTGGCTACATTGCTTTTGTCACTGTGAAAAATGTGTTTCCTTTTTGCAGGGTTTTTACACAACAGTATGAAATCCTCACTGAGGTCAGGTAAGCATGGAGCTATACTGACCCCTAGTGGTTCATGTGTAAACCAACATTTTGAGAACCACTAAATTCATCTTCTTTCTTTCTTTGGCATTTAGCAGACGCTTTTTTCCAAAGCGACCTACATTCATGAGTGCATACATCTTTTACATATTGGTGGTTGCGGGAATCTAACCCACTATCCTGGCGTTGCAAGCAACATGCTCTACCAACTGAGCTACAGGAGGACCAGGACAGCCACGGGCCGATTATTGGTCGGGGGGCCAGAACATAAATCATTTGTAAACTACAAATTGACCACAAGAAGCCCAAACAGATATATTATTTGACAAAAACAGAATCATGACTCAAACCTTGATTATATTGGGATATGATCACATATGGCTCTCTATTTATACGTGGAAATACTTGGGAACAGATTTCCTAAATTAAAAACACTTTGAGCTGAGTTCCTGGTGATTTTACAACAATGAAAATTATCTATCTATCTATATTTTTATTTTTATTATCTTTTGCTCAGAGAACTTGTGGGGCCTAATAATATTGGCCACAGGCTGCCTATTGGGGAACCCTGACAGTGTGAAGAGGTAGCAGTGTGAACTGTTACCTTGGCAAAGAAGTAGGATGTGACATTATACATGCCGTCCTCCAGTTCATGGTACAACATGGCTCTCTCTGTGTGACCTGCGGATGTCCAAAATTAAACAAGGAACAACACTCATTCGCTCATGATGGATCCATCACTCTCAACTGAGCACTCGGATTGGTCACTGTGGCTGCCACTCACACTTTGCTATGACGTCCAGCACCACGGCGAATGGGGTGAGAGCTCCGATCATGTAGAGCAGGGCTACAGTGTCCTGGATTGACAGACGCTCCTCCCCCGCCCCGAAGTACAGGAAGCCAATCAGCAGAGACATGAGCAGAGCCTCAAAGCCGTGCACCAGCAGAGTGACCAGGTCTCGGAAGTCATTGTGCACCTGCCGCCTGGGGAGGAGGAAGACAGGCACTTTCACCATTACTGCACTTTATCCTCTCAGATCACTGGGATGAATCCTAATTTAAGATGTATGCACTTAACTCGGCCATTTGCGTAAATCATGCATTCATGTGAATGGACGATTCTCCGAAAACTGAGACAGAATGTCCCAAGTGCATCATCATCCTACCTGATGAGGATGGTGAACTGGTGTAGTCGGCCTGGCAGGCGGTCCTTTTGTTTGGATATAGTGATCACTTCCTCCTGAGGTGCGGACTGAGTGCTGTATGGGGGACAGACAAACAGAATCACTTGGTTGTTACAATTATGTAAAGGCAAAAGAAGATGTTTGATGCAATGCATTAAAAAGAGCACATTGAAAAGGTCTCTGAGAAGGTCTCAGAAGGTTTCATAAGGGAGACTCACCTCGTGGTGGTCTCCAGGGTTGTGCTTGGCTCCTCTGGCTTCCACATGAAGTCGTCTGTCCCTCTCACCTTCTCCACAAACTGGGCTGACAGCACCCTGGCTCTCTCCAGACACTCAGCCTCTTTCTCTGGGCTGCGCCGGTCTATACTGATCAGATCCACTGAGGGGATAGACACACGCATGATCAGAGATACACACACACACATTCAGATACACTCCACTGACTTCACAGTTTCCCCTTTCTAGATAAGAAGGGAGTAGTGGTGGCTATTCAGCATGATAAATGTCCATTGGGTGGGGGCGTCCAAAGGGGGAGTAACATGGGGAGCAGGTAGCTGACTAGTGATGGTTATTCAGCAGCCTGATGGTCTGGGGATAGAAGCTATTGGCCAGTCTGTTAATGTTTTCCATGATGCTCCTATTCTGAGTGATGGAAGCAGAGAGAACAGGCCGTGGCTCGGGTGGCTGAGGTCCTTGATGATGTTCTTGGCCTTGATGATCTTCTTAGCCTTCCTGTGACACCTGGTGTTGTAGGTGTCCTGGAGGGCAGGCAGTGTGCACCCAATGGTGCGTTCGACTGAGCATACCACCCTCTGTTGTGCCTTGCGGTCAGCAGTGGAGTTGCCATACCAGGCTGTGATGCATCCCGACAGTATGCTTTTGATGGTGCTCCTGTACAACATTGTGAGAGCCCTCGGGGACAGGCCGAATTTCTTCAGCCTCCTGAGGTTAAAGAGTCGCTGTCAAGCCTTCTTCACCATGGTGTCAGTGTGGTTTGACCATTTCAGCTCCTTGGAGATGTGTACGCTGAGGAACTTGACATATTTGACCATCTCCACGGCAGCCCCGTTGATACAGTATACCCAACATACAGTATTTCCCTTCCCTTAACCTACCATAGAAGTCGGAGGGGTTGCAGTAGCGGGGGCAGGGGTATCCCAGGGCTGTGAAGTATGGCACCATGTCTTTAGCAGGCCCACAGTAGACGGCTGAGCCAGAGGAGAGCAGGACCACCAGGTCAAAGAGCTGGAAGATGTCTGAGCGTGGCTGGTGGACGGACAGCAGTACCAGGCGGTTCCCTCGGGCCAACCGGGACAGAGTGATCACCAGGTTATGGGCCGTGAAGCTGTCTAGCCCCGACGTGGGCTCGTCTAGGATCAGGATACCTGCACACAGAGAATGTGATAAGATTAGTGCCTTTTACTATGCTCAATAGAGGGTTTCTGGGTACAATGACAATCTGAAGTAGTTAAAAGTACAGGTACAGTAACATTGCATAAAGGAAAATGTCCCTATGTTAATTACAGTACTGAGGGGAGCAAACGTCTCCATCTGGATTATATCAACGCATATCAAAATTAGTCATATTGCTGCATTCTTCATTACTTGCCCTCCCTCATTCTAGATCTCACCAGGGTTCCAGAGCAGCTGCACAGCGATGCTGACCCTCCTCCTCTCTCCTCCAGACACCCCTCTCACCAAGTCATTGCCCACCCGGGTGTGGGCACACTGCCGCAGACGCAGCTCCGCAATGACGTCATCCACCTATACAGGCAGAGCAGCCACAGTCACATCACAAACAGCTGAAGTGTTATGATCATAATTCCTACACTCTAGAATTTAAAAGGGTTCGTCGGCTGTCCCCACAGGAGAACCCTTTGAATAACCCTATTTTGGTTCCAGGTATAACCCTTTTGGGTTCCATGTAGAACCCTTTCCACAGTGGGTTCTACATGGAACCCAAAAGGGTTCTACCTGAAACCAAAAATGGTTCTACCTGAAACCAAAAATGGTTCTACCTGAAACCAAAAATGGTTCTACCTGAAACCAAAAATGGTTCTACCTGGAACCAAAAAAGGTTATGCTGTGGGAACAGCCAAATAACCATTTGAGTGTTTGGAGCTTGTTTATCTGATTTCACTTGAGTTCTACACTGAACAAAAATATAAACTCAACATGCAACAATTTCAAAGATTTTACTGAGTTACAGTTCATATAAGGAAATCAGTCAATTGAAATAAATTCATTAGGCCCTAATCTATGGATTTCACATGACTGGGAATACAGATATGTCGCAGATAACTTTTTTTTTAAAGTAGAGGCGTGGATCAGAAAACCAGTCAGTATCTGATGTGACCACCATTTGTCTAATGCAGCACAACACATCTCCTTCACATAGAGTTGATCAGGCTTTTCATTGTGGCCTGTGGAATGTTGTCCCACTCCTCTTCAATGGCAGTGCGAAGTTGCTGGATATTGGCGGGAACTGGAAAGCGCTGTCGTACAAGTCAACCCAGAGCATCACTAACATGTTAAATTGTTGACATGTCTGGTGAGTATGCAGGCCATGGAAGAACTGGGGCATTTTCAGCTTCCAGGAATTGTGTACATTATCATGCTGAAACATGAGGTGATGGCGGCGGATGAATGGCAGGACAATGGGCCTCAGGATCTCGTCACGGTATCTCTGTGCATTCAAATTGCCATCGATAAAATGCGATTGTGTTTGTTGTCCGCAGCTTATGCCTGCCCATACCATAACCCCACCATGAGGCACTCTGTTCACAACGTTGACATCAGCAAACCACTCGCCCACATGACACCATACACTCTGTCTGCCATCTGCCCGGGAACAGTTGAAACCAGGATTCATCCGTAAAGAGAACACTTCTCCAGCGTGCCAGTGGACATCGAAGGTGAGCATTTGCCCACTGAAGTCGGTTACAATGCCGAACTGCAGTCAGGTCAAGACCCTGGTGAGGACGACGAGAATGCAGATAAGCTTCCCTGAGACGGTTTCTGACAGTTTGTGTAGAAATTCTTCGGTTGTGCAAACCCACAGTTTCATCAGCTGTCCGGGTGGCTGGTCTCAGACGATCCCGCAGGTGAAGAAGCTGGATGTGGAGGTCCTGGGCTGGCGTGGTTACACGTGGTCTGAGGTTGTGAGCCCGGTTGGACATACTGCCAAATTCTCTAAAACAATGTGGGACGCGGCTTATGGTAGAGAAATGAACATTAAATTATCTGGCAACAGCTCTGGTGGACATTCCTGCAATCAGCATGCCAACTGCACGCTCCCTCAAAACTTGAGACATCTGTGGCATTGTGTTATGTGATAAAACAGAACATTTTAGAGTGGCCTTTTATTGTACCCAGCACAAGGTGCACCTGTGTAATGATCATGCTGTTTAATCAGCTTCTTGATATGCCACAACTGTCAGGTGGATGGATTATCTTGGCAAAGGAGAAATACTCACTAACAGGGATGTAAACAAATTTGTGCACAACATTTCAGAGAAATAAGCTTTTTGTGCATATGGAAAATTACTGGGATCTTTTATTTCAGCTCATGAAACATGGGACCAACACGTTTCATGTTGCGTTTATATTTTTGTTCAGTATAGCATATTAAACGTGTCAAATAATGTAACGTAACATATATTATACTAAATGGAGTGGCACAGATTTTAGCTACATATAATACGTTTTGCTCTGAGACCAGGCTGTGAGAGTCATTTGTTTCTGGGTGCAGAGACTACTAACATACTCAGTAACATAAAATATTTACCACAGTTGAACATAAATATACAAATCATACCTGACATTCTGTAGGCCTACAGTACATTATATAGTGCAATGCCTCCTCTTACCATGCAATCTATGTTGCGTAAAATTTTGTTCAGTGTACATTGTTGGATAATGTTGATGGTACTCATTGTGTGCAGGCTTTTGTTCTGGCCCAGCACTTCAGAACATCAGGTCTGTTAGTCCTGGGCTGGAACAAAAGCCTGCACACCCTCTGAGTCCCTGGGATTGGGAAGAACACTGCTATAACTTCCCAGGTGACATGACCCTGGTTCTTTACCAATGCTTACCCTTTGGTCCCTCTGTTTCTGGCTGAAGTTTGTGGGTAGCCGTAGCTTAGCCACAAAGGCTAGCGTTTCCCTCACAGTAAGGTGAGGCAGCAGGCGGTCATCCTGGCGGACGTGGGCTATGTTCTTCCTCACCAGCTTGGGGTTGCTAGGTTGCCCGTTGATTAGCACCTGGCCAGACGTCATGGAGCCACCCTCACCACGACACGTTATGATGTCCAACAAGGAGGTCTTTCCACAACCTGTGGACAGACATGATATGAAAGAGGTTATAGGGCAGATCTTTGCATAGTCCTCATCAGACCATAACTTTTGGGGGAATATCCACACTAGCACACCCACATCTAGAAAAAAGCAATGTATTGGGAATGCATTCTAAGTGGTATGCTAGTTTGGATATTGGAACATACTGTAACTAGGTGAGACTGGGCACAAAGTAACAAGGTGCACAATAGTTCACATTAGAAACCACTTAGAAAGCTGTTATTCAATGTGCTAATGCTTGGTTAGTGTATCTACATGCCTAGGAAGTTTTGCTTAAATCCATAAATATGTTTTTTTGCTTTTCAGGCCGAATTCTAAATATTCTTGCCGCCTCTCTTTTTTGATTATTGACCTGTGGAACATTCACAATATATCTAATAATATATAATTTGTATCAGTAAGAAGAGGTATTTTGATTGGTATAGTTGATGACAATAATTATTGTTGTATTTTCTCACAAGACTCAGATTTGTAGTGGGGGCAAATTGTACTATTTGTAACAATTAACCCCTTACCTAAAATGCTAGTAGCTGAGTATGTACCTGAGCTGCCGATGATGGCCAGCATCTGGCCACTGCGGACTCGCAGGTTGAGTTTGTTTATGGCTGTCTGCTTGTCTCCCTTCATCTCCCAGGGCATCTTAAACTCTGAGAGCTTCTCATACCACGGGATCTGAGCAGCCGTGTCCACCTGACACACACACAGGCACACACACACACACACACAGGCACACACACACACACACACACAGGCACACACACACACACACACACACAGGCACACACACACACACACACACACAGGCACACACACACATTAGGCTTTTGATACCGTGGTGAAGCTGTGGGACAGCTTGTAAGGGAGGACGTCACTAAATCATGAACTACTGTAAGTCGCTCTGGATAAGAGCGTCCGTTAAATTGCTCACAACTGTGCCTGGTTGCAAGTCTCTGCCTGGGACTCTGATATAAGGCAGGGCAGGGCCGGCATTAAGGGCGGGGCCTGGACCGCCCTACCGTACCTCCTTGGCTGTCCAAATAAAATATTGATAATTTATTTGACCAAGACGCACGCCGACAGAAAGACGCATCAATCTCAGATAAAGCATCCGAGCGAGTGAAACAGCGCCCCTCTGTCTCCGTACAGATAAAGCCACCCTGTATCTGATGCTGTCTGGACAGAAGGAGTATAGCATGTCGTACTTTTTCTGGCCAGACTGCATCAGAAATATGGGCTACATATAGTGAGACAAAGGGGCGCTGTTTCGCTCGCCAGTTTCAGCAAAGAGGAAGCGGCGAAGCGAGAGGGCTCACTCTCGCCAAAATCGGTACTGAGTAAACCCAATGCGTTTCTATGGGTATAATATGCAGACCTAAACTTGTCGCCTGCATTCCCGCCTTTGGGATAACGACTCGCATTGTTAGGGCGGAGACATGAGCATCTCGTCATTATATACTGATCTCTGGTTTCAGCCACTTGCGAATTAAAAAGGTAAATTGGTTGGTGCACAGGGCACTGTTCGGATGCTGGCTTCCCCTAAAGTAAATTGATGTTTTGCCAAAATTATATAATTACTACTGTCAAAATAAAATAATTAAAATTCTTTACCAGAGAGCTTGATTTAGCCACATAGCTAGGATCATTAGCTTCTTTTTTTTAAATAGCCGTGCATAGGCCTATGCCTATTCGCGCGTGGCAATAGGCCTAGCTGATTATTGAGTTGCGGCTGTCAGTGAAAAGCATCTCATGTGTGAATATAATTCAAAATGTTGAGACAAGAAGAAGGGGTGGGATGTGTGGCGAAGATATGGTCGTCTCTCTCCAGATTGCATGTACTCAGCTCTCCAGAATGTGCTCCGCTGTCTCCCGCCAATTCTTGCACATTCATTGTTTCATTGTGTGTATTGTTTGCCCTTTGATTGATTCGTTTTTTCAATTCCTTATTACATATGTTACCAGTAGGCCTAGTAAATGTACCATTTATCCCCGTCATTTTGTTACATACATTTCTGTTAATGCATGTATTACAGTCATTTACTGTTCTCATTCTCGGAGTTCACAACCTGCAACCTACACGTTTTGGTTAACTTCATAACCATCATTTAGGAGTTTTGTAAATTGTTCCATTGTCTTTCATTTGGAGTGCACCATATGAGCATGTGTGTGGTTTATCTGTCCTGATAACGCATTGCACTCGGGGAGAAGTTGTCATTTGCTGCTGGGTAGGGCAGCCGGTGACGAAGAAAGGTAGTGAGGGGGTATTTGGGGAACCAGCTAAGATAGTGGGGTTGGTAGGAGTGCGAGACATCTCTCCTGCTTTTGAGAACAGACCACGTTTCGCGTTGTAGCATGTTCTTGGACATGCAAATGTAACAGGGTTGGTTATGTTTCCACTTGCCTCTAAAGAAATGTGTATTTAATGTTCAAGCATTCTCATTGGTTGGTTCAACTCTGATGACAATAAGGCGTGTTGTGATTGGCCCCGCTTGCAGCTAGATCGTGAACTTCAGGTCTTCCCAGTATGAAAATGTGATGCAAGGGGTAGGTCATGTTCTGAATACTGTTTTATATTTTACAATGTGTACAAGGTTGCTGTACGTTACTGATTCATACATGTGTGGGTATATGGTACCTGTTAGGGATTGAGGGGCTTTCTGGGATGTGCTTTGGCATATGATTGCTGTAGATAAGTGTGTTAGCTAGCATACACCGACGTAATGGTCACATGAGCCATCTGCTAACACAGTTGCCTTCATGTTACATATTTTGCCATCGACAGCCATCAATATCGTTAAGCTTTGCACAACTAACGTGCTGTTTCCCATTTAACAACATAAATAAATGATGCTCAACTGGGACCACTGGCTGATGTGATTTATTAAGAGAAAACTCAAGAAGTACAGTGGTTGCTGATGCACGCCAGAGGCCTAGGTTTCGCTTTCTGCACAACTGGAATTCTCAGGGAGCTCCTGGTAGCATGAGTGAGTGGGGGAAATATTAATGTACTGTTTTTTACTTGTATGTGGTGATGCTATGATTATTTAGTGATGTAATTGTGCTGTTATGCTGGTAACCTTCCGAAGCCAATTAACGTGAGGGCAACGCCATTTTCTACCACACGGTGGCGACAACTATTTATTAAGGCGTTTCTTGTTACTTTTCTGTGTTGATTCTTGGTCTTGTTAGACAACTACTACAGAACTTTTATTTTGAGCGCATTATGTTGAAGCTGATTTTATAGAAGTGTTCATATTGATTGTGTTAAAACAATTTTTTTTTGACTTAATATTTTTTATTTTTAACACAATCAATATGAACACTTCTATAAAATCAGCTTTATGGTGCGAGCATTGAGCCATCGGAAGTGTGTACACAGTCTCAGATCACCAGACTTCTTCCAGACCAGCACGAGCGGGGAGGCATACTCACTGCTGGATTTCCTGATTATCTCTCGCTCTTCCATCTCATCCAAGGCCTGCCTGAGCTTGTCATAATGGTTAGGGGAGAGCCTACGGTAAGGTAGCCTAAAAGGCTTAGTGTCACTGAGTCTGATGCGATGGACATATCCAGTAGCCTTCCCGCAATCTAGTTTGTGCCGGGAGAAGATGGACTTGTAGCGGGCTATAAGCTGAACTAGCCTGGCCTTACACTGTTGCGACAACTGAGTGGACTCAATGTCAATGTCACCTAGCCCTAACTCGTACAACACCTCACTTGTCACTCTGTGCGGTTTGACGGTACTGTCAACGGTCAAGCTATCTCCACTACCATTGTCAAAGTCTGGATTGTCCTCCATTTTGTGTACCTGCTGCACCAGGGGGACCGGTTCGACAGTGGGCCTATCCATATAGTCGGTGTCAAAGTCCTCTAATGCCATGCAAGGAAAAGCGTCCGCTATCTTGGCATTGCGTCTCACTGTTACTGGCTTTGGTGAGGGATTGATAACTTTGACAGGGACCCAGCCATCGCTCCACAATGTCGCTACTGTTCTCCCCACTAGGATGTTTTTTGGTCTTGAGCGTGCCCTCGTAGGCTCAATAACAACAGCACTGTCCGCGGATACATTTTGAGGCGTACACAGCCGGCCCCAGACTAAATGTTCCTGCATAGGCTCCAATGTGACCGCCCGCTTCAGCCTTACTGTGCCCAGTCTTTCTGGCACTTCGGTCCCTTTCCATCTCTCTACATTAGCCAGGAGACGGAACAGTTTGTCATCTCCATTGTGTTCAGATGATGACATCTTCTCCCAGAAGTCACCAGTCGTCTTCAGCTCCCTGATGAGGTGTTTTATCACGTTGCTGCCTAGGATGAGCTCATCACGTTGGCCATCCACTACTAGAACAGGGACAGAGACACTGCTGCCATACACAGACAGATTCAATTCACACACACCTACAGGCTTGGTCTTCAACCCCCCGCAGCCAACCAACACCACTTCAGTCAGACTGAGGGAGCCACTCTTGAGCACACCTGCTTTCTCAAGGCGTGGCACCACTGTTGAGCTCAATGTGCATGCCATAGAACCGCTGTCAATCATAGCGCTCACCTCTATAACATCCCCCAGTAACACCCTAGTATAGAAGAGGTCATCGTTGTGGAGCACTCTGTGTATTTTGCATAATGACTTTTTTGTTCGACTTGACTTCATCACAAACCCTTGAATATATTGACTCTAAATCTACACCACTATCTGATTGGGGCACCTCACAAGGCCCAGCACTTCCCCCCCATCCCGTGCGGGCCAGCTAGTTTTCCTGCCGCTGTGTCGTGTTGCTGTCTGATGGAGCGATGGGAGTTACAGATGAAGTGCGAGGGCATTCTTGACGTGTGTGCCCCGCTGCATAACAGAGGAAGCATACAGTGGGGAGAACAAGTATTTGATACACTGCCTATGTTGCAGGTTTTCCTACTTACAAAGCATGTAGAGGTCTGTAATTTTTATCATAGGTACACTTCAACTGTGAGAGATTGAATCTAAAACAAAAATCCAGAAAATCACATTGTATGATTTTTAAGTAATTCATTTGCATTTTATTGCATGACATAAGTATTTGATCACCTACCAACCAGTAAGAATTCCAACTCTCACAGACCTGTTAATTTTTCTTTAAGAAGCCCTCCTGTTCTCCACTCATTACCTGTATTAACTGCACCTGTTTGAACTCGTTACCTGTATAAAAGACACCTGTCCACACACACAATCAAACAGACTCCAACCTCTCCACAATGGCCAAGACCAGAGAGCTGTGTAAGGACATCAGGGATAAAATTGTAGACCTGCACAAGGCTGGGATGGGCTACAGGACAATAGGCAAGCAGCTTGGTGAGAAGGCAACAACTGTTTGCGCAATTATTAGAAAATGGAAGAAGTTCAAGATGACGGTCAATCACCCTCGGTCTGGGGCTCCATGCAAGATCTCACCTCGTGGCATCAATGATCATGAGGAAGGTGAGGAATCAACCCAGAACTACACGGCAGGACCTGGTCAATGACCTGAAGGGAGCTGGGACCACAGTCTCAAAGAAAACCATTAGTAACACACTACGCCGTCATGGATTAAAATCCTGCAGTGCACGCAAGGTCCCCCTGCTCAAGCCAGCGCATGTCCAGGCCCGTCTGAAGTTTGCCAATGACCATCTGGATGATCCAGAGGAGGAATGGGAGAAGGTCATGTGGTCTGATGAGACAAAAATAGAGCTTTTTGGTCTAAACTCCACTCGCCGTGTTTGGAGGAAGAAGAAGGATGAGTACAACCCCAAGAACACCATCCCAACCGTGAAGCATGGAGATGGAAACATCATTCTTTGGGGATGCTTTTCTGCAAAGGGGACAGGACGACTGCACCGTATTGAGGGGAGGATGGATGGGGCCATGTATCATGAGATCTTGGCCAACAACCTCCTTCCCTCAGTAAGAGCATTGAAGATGGGTCGTGGCTGGGTCTTCCAGCATGACAACGACCCGAAACACACAGCCAGGGCAACTAAGGAGTGGCTCCGTAAGAAGCAACTCAAGGTCCTGGAGTGGCCTAGCCAGTCTCTAGACCTGAACCCAATAGAAAATCTTTGTAGGGAGCTAAAAGTCTGTATTGCCCAGTGACAGCCCCGAAACCTGAAGGATCTGGAGAAGGTCTGTATGGAGGAGTGGGCCAAAATCCCTGCTGCAGTGTGTGCAAACCTGGTCAAGACCTACAGGAAACGTATGATCTCTGTAATTGCAAACAAAGGTTTCTGTACCAAATATTAAGTTCTGCTTTTCTGATGTATCAAATACTTATGTCATGCAATAAAATGCAAATTAATTACTTAAAAATCATACAATATGATTTTCTGGATTTTTGTTTTAGATTCCGTCTCTCACAGTTTAAGTGTACCTATGATAAAAATTACAGACCTCTACATGCTTTGTAAGTAGGAAAACCTGCAAAATCGGCAGTGTATCAAATACTTGTTCTCCCCACTGTAGGTGGTTAGAATAACAATGATCCATTGTGCTGTGATTCGCATCCCCACACACTTTGCATTGCAAAGACGGGTTCTCCCTTCTCCTGGGCCTCCTCTGGAAACGGTTATCATAGCCACCTACAGGTTGCTGTGGCCTCTGCTCCAAGATCCGTTCAAGCATGCCAATCACACGATCCAATGCCTCGGATGAGCCATTTGTGGGCTGCTGCAAGGGGTCCGGGCAGTTTGCAACAGCCGACACTGGCCTACTTACTTCCTGCGTCAGTGTGGTGACCAGTGGGGCCAGCCGCAAGGGACGTGGAGCCTTGCACTTCCTCTGGTACTCCTCCAGCCTGCCATGGACCTCCGCAGCCGTCCACTCATGCAATGGTTTGCACATGAATATCAATGACAGCTCTGGGTTCGGACAGTGCTTGATGAACATGACAGTCAGAACACTTGATGGATTGTCTAGCTCCTTGTTCTACCTCTTCAAACAGTCCTCTGCCACCTCTATGGCCCTGTTCAGTCTGATCCAGTAATCAAATGGAGTCTCCCCTTCCATTGGCAACGTAGAATAAACATCAGCTAGGGGCATGTCGGAGTTGATTGTGTCGCTAAAGTGATGCTTCAGAATGTCAAAAACTGGTCTAGGGCCCTGGCTTAAGTCAACTGGGTTACTGCGTAGGCTTACTCTTACCACGTCACGTGCCCACCCTGACAGCTTACCCAAAACTTCATCTGACCTCTCCTGCCCACCATAGCCCTTCTTCTGCATGTACACTAACATGGTCTCCTCCCACTCATGCACTGTGCATTCCTCTGAACCATCCCCCCTGAAACAGACTGGTTCCCTGACATCATTTTTCACCACTACATTTAGACTAGAGCTGGCCCCAGCCTTGGAACCACCAACATTATCAACCTTCTGTCACACCCCATCTCACATAGCCTTTGATTCCAAACAAGAGGCAATATTTTCACCTATGGAGTAACCTATCTGCTTAACAATGCCCACCAGGAAATCCATAGACACATCCTCCATCCTAGGACTAGGTGAAACTGGCTCGAATGCACCGAGTTGAGGTAGCTCTAAATCATGTGGAAAGCGCACACTTGCCTGTGCAGTTGGCCTGGCCAGAGGTGTGGAAGTAACTGGAGAAATAGTTGCCCCCCCTACCCACTGGCGGTGAAGGGTTAAACATGAAAACTCCCCTACCTCTCCAAAAACGTTCTTTTTTTTTTTTTTTACACAATCAATATGAACACTTCTATAAAATCAGCTTCAACATAATGCGCTCAAAATAAAAGTTCAGTAGTAGTTGTCTAACAAGACCAAGAATCAACACAGAAAAGTAACAAGAAACGCCTTAATAAATTGTTGTCGCCACCGTGTGGTAGAAAATGGCGTTGCCCTCACGTTAATTGGCTTCGGAAGGTTACTAGCATAACAGCACAATTACATCACTAAATAATCATAGCATCACCACATACAAGTAAAAAACTGTACATTAATATTTCCCCCACTCACTCATGCACCAGGAACTCCCTGAGAATTCCACTTGTGCAGAAAGCAAAACCTAGGCCTCTGGCGTGCATCAGCAACCACAGTACTTCTTGAAGCCGGGTCTCGGATCCCTCCACGTGACGTCCGGCGAAGACAAGAAGACGAGTCACGACACCAGTGTAACAGATGTATATCGTACTCTCCTTGCGTTGTTTTCTCTTAATAAAGGCCAATCACAACACGCCTTATTGTCATCAGAGTTGAACCAACCAATAAGAATGCTTGAACATTAAATACACATTTCTAAGTGTTTTTAAGTGTTACATTTAAATGTTCTGTCTATGTTCTCTTTCGTTGGCCTAGTCTTTTTAAATGTTTTTAGAATGTATAGTTTTTAGAATACAGGGTGGGTTATGAGGGTCGAACAGAAGGCGATTGCAGACCATGTAGCTGAAAGTGGGGGGTTCTATATTATCACATGTGGGTCTCTGGACTGTATGACTATGTCGTGGTCAAAAGTTTTGAGAATGACAAAAGTATTGGTCTTCACAAAGTTCACTGCTTCAGTGTTATGAGATATTTTTGTCAGATGTTACTATGGTATACTGAAGTATAATTACAAGCATTCCATAAGTGTCAAAGGCTTTTATTGACAATTACATTAAGTTTATGCAAAGAGTTAATATTGGCAGTGTTGACCCTTCTTTTTCAAGACCTCTGCAATCCGCCCTGGCATGCTGTCAATTAACCTCTGGGCCACATCCTGACTGATGGCAGCCCATTTTTGCATAATCAATGCTTGGAGTTTGTCATAATTTGGGGGGTTTTGTTTGTCCACCCGCCTCTTGAGGATCGACCACAAGTTCTCAATGGGATTAATGTCTGGGGAGTTTCCTGGCCATGGACCCAACATTTCAATGTTTTGTTCCCCAAGCCACTTAGTTATCACTTTTGCCTTATGGCAAGGTGCTCCATCATGCTGGAAAAGGCATTGGTCGTCACCAAACTGTTCTTGGATGGTTGGGAGAAGTTGCTCTCGAAGGATGTGTTGGTGCCATTCTTTATTCATGCCTGGGTTCTTAGGCAAAATTGTGAGTGAGCCCACTCTCATGGCTGAGAAGCAACCCCACACATGAATGGTCTCAGGATGCTTTACTGTTGGCATGACATAGGACTGATGGTAGCGTGTTTTCCGGATGCCCCAAACAATCGGAAAGGGGATTCATCCGAGAAAATGACTTTACCCCAGTCCTCAGCAGTCCAATCCCTGTACCTTTTGCAGAATATCAGTCTGTCCCTGATGTTTTTCCTGGAGGTAAGTGGCTTCTTTGCTGCCCTTCTTGACACCAGGCCATCCTCCAAAAGTCTTCACCTCACTGTGCGTGCAGATGCACTCACACCTGCCTGCTGCCATTCCTGAGCAAGCTCTGCACTGGTGGTGCCCCGATCCTGCAGCTGAATCAACTTTAGGAGACGGTCCTGGCGCTTGCTGGACTTTCTTGGGCGCCCTGACGCCTTCTTCACAACAATTGAACCTCCTTGAAGTTCTTGATGATCCGATAAATGATTGATTTAGGTGCAATCTTACTAGCAGCAATATCCTTGCCTGTGAATCCCTTTTTGTGTAAAGCAATGATGACGGCACGTGTTTCCTTGCAGGAAACCATGGTTAACAGAGGAAGAACAATGATTTCAAGCACCACCCTCCTTTTAAAGCTTCCAGTCTGTTATTCTAACTCAATCAGCATGACAGAGTGATCTCCAGCCTTGTCCTCGTCAACACTCATCTGTGTTAACGAGAGAATCACTGACATGATGGCAGCTGGTCCTTTTGTGGCAGGGCTGAAATGCAGTGGAAACGTTTTTTGGGGATTACGTTCATTTTCATGGCAAAGCGGGACTTTGCAATTAATTGCAATTCATCTGATCACTCTTCATGACATTCTGGAGTATATGCAAATTGCCATCATCAAAACTGAGGCAGCAGACTTTGTGAAAATTAGTATTTGTGTCATTCTCAAAACTTTTGACCACGACTGTAGGCTATTACGCTCCTGTGTGCTGTGAATTTGCGTGTTTGTACAATTGCGTTTCATTAGGCTCTGCCCGGTTTGCAGTGAAGTAGTAGTAGAACCTTGGATGTTCAGTTCTCCTTAACCGTATATCTCACTATTGTGTGTATTGTCAATTTGTAGCACGTTATCGCACTTAATAGCCTGTGTGCCTTACACCTTATTCGGGTCATTGCAGCAATCCTGATTGGGTTACAGAGACTGCAGGAATTTAGCAGGTAGCCTAGCATTTCATGAAAAATATGAAATTGTGTATTTAATAAAGATAATTGTTTGCTATATCTGTGTTGAGTTTTGTTGTGTCTTATCCTCTGACGACGTACCATACCGGTCAAACAAAGGGGGTGGCAGCTTCACAGCTACTCTACTCAATCCAGTACTTGCCCCACCTCTCAGGTGGTCTAGCGAGCTTTATTACAATACTGACAGAATGTAAAAGGCAGGCAAAAATGAGACTGATACAGTCAGTGATAAGGAGCATAGGAAAATTGGGAAGAGTCGAGAGAAAGAATAGAGTGGGAGAAAGGTGTTGTTACCTCATAGTGCAGGTTGCTGACCTCTATCTCATTGCGACCTCCACTGTAGGTGAAGTACAGGCTACTGTCCTCTTCAGAAGAGGAGAACAGCTCAGTGTCTCCTCTCTAAGGAAGGAGTAGAGGTTACTATAGGTTACTGAGTGAGGAAGTGGTCAAGAAGTTACTCAGTTTTGTATTGTGTACACATACCATTCACTTATTCGAGGACCATTCACATATTGTAACTATACTTTCACTGGCATCCATTTACCTGATTTACTATGGTAATAAACCCTTGTATTTCTCTTAGTATATTCTGCCAGACATTTGTCTCAGCAAATCTAAGAACACTGGTGTATCTTTAGGGGCTTCATTTTTTGGCCATCAATGCATCGTACGATGGATTTTATTACCACTTTATCGGACAGTTCTGATGACTCCTGTATAAAAGTGATTAGGTATGATTCCAGATAAACGGATCCTAAACTGAGCGGTGTGTGATGAAAGGTTATACAGCTGGTAAACAGTGTAGGAGACCTCCAGCCTGTCCAGGGTCCACTCAAACAGAGCTACATGTCACCATGATGTAATTTTAAAAAGCCTAGAGATAGATAGGCAGATGCTTGCCACCTCTCTAGAGTAGCATGAATATTCAAATAAAATGTTATTTGTCACATGCGCCGAATACAACAATGCCATTTTAAGAAAGAGTTAAGAAAATATTTACTAAATAAACTAAAGTAAAAAAAAGTAGCACAATAAAATAACAATAACGAGGCTATATACAGGGGGGTACCGGTACAGAGTCAATGTGCGGGGGTACAGGTTAGTCGAGGTAATTGAGGTAATATGTACATTTAGGTAGGGGTAAAGTGATAATAAACAGCGAGTAGCAGCAGTGTGTGGGGCTCAATGCAAATAGTCCGGGTAGCCATTTGATTAATTGTTCAGCTGTCTTATGGCTTGGGGGTAGAAGCTGTTAAGGAGCCTTTTGGACCTAGACTTGGCGCTGCGGTACCGCTTGCCGTGCGGTAGCAGAGAGAACAGTCTATGACTTGGGTGGCTGGAGTCTTTGACAATTTTTGGGGCCTTCCTCTGACACTGCCTAGTATAGATGTCCTGGATGGCAGAAAGCTTGGCCCCAGTGATGTACTGGGCCGTACGCACTACCCTCTGTAGCGCTTTGCGGTCGGAGGCCGAGCAATTGCCATACCAGGCAGTGATGCAACCAGTCAGGATGCTCTCGATGGTGCAGCTGTAGAACCTTTTGAGGATCTGAGGACCCATGCCAAATCTTTTCAGTCTCCTAAGGGGGAATAGGTTTTGTCGTGCCCTCTTCACGACTGTCTTGGTGTGCTTGGACCATGATAGTTTGTTGGTGATGTGGACACCAAGGAACTTGAAGCTCTCAGCCTGCTCCACTACTAAGTCTAGGTCCAAGAGGCTTCTAAACAGCTTCTTCCCCCAAGCCATAAGACTCATGAACATCTAATCAAATGGCTACCCAGACTATTTGCATTGCCCCCCACCCCCCATTTACGCTGCTGCTACTCTCTGTTTATTATCTACGCATAGTCACTTTAATAACTCTACCTACATGTACAGTGGGGAAAAAAAGTATTTAGTCAGCCACCAATTGTGCAAGTTCTCCCACTTAAAAATATGAGAGAGGCCTGTAATTTTCATCATAGGTACACGTCAACTATGACAGACAAATTGTCCAGATAATCACATTGTAGAATTTTTAATGAATTTATTTGCAAATTATGGTGGAAAATAAGTATTTGGTCACCTACAAACAAGCAATATTTCTGGCTCTCACAGACCTGTAACTTCTTCTTTAAGAGGCTCCTCTGTCCTCCACTCGTTACCTGTATTAATGGCACCTGTTTGAACTTGTTATCAGTATAAAAGACACCTGTCCACAACCTCAAACAGTCACACTCCAAACTCCACTATGGCCAAGACCAAAGAGCTGTCAAAGGACACCAGAAACAAAATTGTAGACCTGCACCAGGCTGGGAAGACTGAATCTGCAATAGGTAAGCAGCTTGGTTTGAAGAAATCAACTGTGGGAGCAATTATTAGGAAATGGAAGACATACAAGACCAATGATAATCTCCCTCGATCTGGGGCTCCACGCAAGATCTCACCCCGTGGGGTCAAAATGATCAGAAGAACGGTGAGCAAAAATCCCAGAACCACACGGGGGACCTAGTGAATGACCTGCAGAGAGCTGGGACCAAAGTAACAAAGCCTACCATCAGTAACACACTACGCCGCCAGGGACTCAAATCCTGCAGTGCCAGACGTGTCCCCCTGCTTAAGCCAGTACATGTCCAGGCCCGTCTGAAGTTTGCTAGAGTGCATTTGGATGATCCAGAAGAGGATTGGGAGAATGTCATATGGTCAGATGAAACCAAAATATAACTTTTTGGTAAAAACTCAACTCGTCGTGTTTGGAGGACAAAGAATGCTGAGTTGCATCCAAAGAACACCATACCTACTGTGAAGCATGGGGGTGGAAACATCATGCTTTGGGGCTGTTTTTCTGCAAAGGGACCAGGACGACTGATCCGTGTAAAGGAAAGAATGAATGGGGCCATGTATCGTGAGAATTTGAGTGAAAACCTCCTTCCATCAGCAAGGGCATTGAAGATGAAACGTGGCTGGGTCTTTCAGCATGACAATGATCCCAAACACACCGCCCGGGCAACGAAGGAGTGGCTTCGTAAGAAGCATTTCAAGGTCCTGGAGTGGCCTAGCCAGTCTCCAGATCTCAACCCCATAGAAAATCTTTGGAGGGAGTTGAAAGTCCGTGTTGCCCAGCGACAGCCCCAAAACATCACTGCTCTAGAGGAGATCTGCATGGAGGAATGGGCCAAAATACCAGCAACAGTGTGTGAAAACCTTGTGAAGACTTACAGAAAACGTTTGACCTGTGTCATTGCCAACAAAGGGTATATAACAAAGTATTGAGAAACTTTTGTTATTGACCAAATACTTATTTTCCACCATAATTTGCAAATAAATTCATTAAAAATCCTACAATGTGATTTTCTGGAAAATGTTTTCTCATTTTGTCTGTCATAGTTGATGTGTACCTATGATGAAAATTACAGGCCTCTCTCATCTTTTTAAGTGGGAGAACATGCACAATTGGTGGCTGACTAAATACTTTTTTTCCCCACTGTACATATTACCTCGACTAACCGGTGCCCCCGCACATTGACTCGGTACCGGTACCCCCTGTATATAGCCTCGCTATTGTTATTTTTACTGCTGCTCTTTAATTTTTGTTACTTTAATTTTGTATTATTTTATATTGTATTTTTGTGTGTTTTTTTGTTGTATTCTTTCTTAAAACTGCATTGTTGGTTAAGGGCTTGTAAGTAAGCATTTCACTGTAAGGTCTACACCTGTTGTATTCGGCGCATGTGACAAATAACATTTGATTTGATTTTGATTTGTTGTGTCGTCAGCAAACTTAATGATGGTGTTGGAGTCGTGCCTGGCCACGCAGTCGTGTGTGAACAGGGAGTACAGGAGAGGACTAAGCACGCACCCCTGAAGGGCCCCCGTTTTGAGGATCAGTGTGGCAGATGTGTTGTTGCCTACCCTTACCACCTGAGGGTGGTCCGTCAGGAAGTCCAGGATCCAGTTGCAGAGGGAGGTGTTTAGTCCCAGGGTCCTTAGCTTAGTGATGAGCTTTGTGGGCTCTATGGTGTTGAACGCTGAGCTGTATACAATGAACAGCATTCTCACGTAGGTGTTCCTTTTGTCCAGGTGGGAAAGGGCAGTGTGGAGTGCAATAGAGATTGAGTAATCTGTGGATCTGTTGGGGCGGTATGCGAATTGGAGTGGGTTTAGGGTTTCCAGGATGATGGTGTTGATGTGAGCCATGACCAGCCTTTCAAAGCACTTCATGGCTACAGACATGAGTGCTATGGGGCGGAAGTCATGTAGGCAGGTTACCTTGGCATACTTGTGCACAGGGACTATGGTGGTCTGCTTGAAACATGTAGGTATTACAGACTTGGTCAGGGAGAGGTTGAAAATGTCAGTAAAGACATTTGCCAGTTGGTCCGCGCATGCTCTGAGTACACATCCTGGTAATCCGTCTGGCCCTGCAGCCTTGTGAATGTTGTCCTGTTTAAAGGTCTTACTCACATCGGCTACGGAGAGTGTGATCACACAGGCGTCAGGAATAGCTGTTGCTCTCATGCATGCTTCAGTGTTGCTTGCCTCAAAGCAAGCATAAAAGGCATTTAGCCTGTCTGGTAGGCTCGCGTCACTGGGCAGCTCGCAGCTGCGTTTCACTTTGTAGTCCATAATAGTTTGCAAGCCTTGCCACATCTAACGAGCGTCAGAGCCGGTGTAGTAGGATTCAATCTTAGTCTTGTATTGACGCTTTGCATGTTTGGTGGTTCGTCTGAGGGCATAGCGGGATTTCTTATAAGCGTCCGGATTAGTGTCCCGATCCTTGAAATCGGCAGCTCTAGCCTTTAGCTCGGTGCGGATGTTGCCTGTACTCCATGGCTTCTGATTGGGAAATGTACGTACGGTCACTGTGGGGACAACGTCATCGATGCACTTATTGATAATAATAATAATAGGTCATTTAGCAGACGCTCTTATCCAGAGCGACTTACAGGAGCAATTAGGGTTAAGTGCCTTGCTCAAGGGCACATCGACAGATTTTTCACCTAGTGGGCTCGGGGATTAGAACCAGCGACCTTTCGGTTACTGGCACAACGCTCTTAACCACTAAGCTACCTGCCGCCCCCATGAAGCCTGTGACTGAGGTGGTATACTCCTCAATGCCATCGGATGAATCCCGGAACATATTCCAGTCTCTGCTAGTAAAACAGTCCTGTAGTTTAGCATCAGTATTGAGCAAGTCACTGGTTCTTCCGGCTTAATTGTTTTGCTTGTAAGCAGGAATCAGGGGATAGAATTATGGTTAGATTTGCAAAATGGAGGGCGAGGGAGAGCTTTGTACGCGTCTCTGTGTGTGGAGTAAAGGTGGTCTAGAGTTTTTTTGCTCAGGTTGCACATGACATGCTGGTAGAAATTAGGTAAAACTAATTTATGTTTTCCTGCATTAAAGTCAACGGCCACTAGAACGCCGCTTCTGGATGAGGATTTTCTTGTTTGCTTATGGCCTTATACAGCTCATTGAGTCAATGACAGAAATGATAGAAACTAAACCTAAACATATAGCAAAAAAACAAGTGAATGAACCTAAGAACTAATCTTTTCCCAGTCTGTTTCTCGGTCCCTGTGTGTCCTGTCCCATGTCACTGTACCCGTGTCGAAGGTCAGAGATGGTCTGTAGATGGTCATTGACTCACCATCTGTGGGGGGCCACCGGTAATGATCCCCGTCTCTGGATCTGGCCTGTTGTCCGTCTCTCCAGTATCCATTGCTTGTGGAGTTGTAGGCGGTGGTGGAAGTTCTGAAATAGGGGTCAGTGCCCCATGTGCCTGGTTGGTTCTGAGTCAGTATGTCTCCCTGGTCTTCCCTCTCCTCTCCCAGGCTGACGAAGACTGACTGCACAGCACAGGGGAGACCTGTGACTTATTGTTACCTTTCTCTTAATACAGCCCAAGAGCAAAGTTCCACTGATAAGAGCCCTGTGTTTATGGTGCCGGCGCCACTGTCACAACGTAACGCTGAATGGCTACAAAGAGCTGACTACAGAAAGAAGACGCACATAGAGACATAACAGATATTTGTGGCTTGGATGAGTGGAGCTGTGAAACCATGATGAATGGGTCCTACTCTATGGAGGTAACACCAGAGCGGACAGAGAGCAGGTCTAAGGAATCTTTTAAGTTTGTGTCGGAGAAGAGTGTGGTGAAGAGGTCTGGACCAGGACCCTCTGACCAACCGCAGCCCTCCTGCTGCCTGAGTGTTAGCCAAGTCTCCTACAGCGTCAGGTAAGCTAATGCTATTTACAAGATAGAAAGATGTGTTATGAATGTGATGCGTGATATCACTGTCACTTGGTTTGGAACTGTGAATGAACTGTTAAAAAGCAGAAAATCGTATGGATTGTGCCTTTTAAATATTACATTTAGGTCATAAGATATGGATTGTTATACCAGTAAACAGTCGCATCAAGCGGCACGATTTTGTACCTCTACGTACTATTCTGGTACAGTAACAGTAAGGTAAAAATGGAAACATTGTATCTGCTCATCTAAAGCAGAGCAGCACTGCATGTCTTATCTTTGTATCTACTGTGCAGATCATTACATGAATTGGGTCGTTCCACGAAATGGGTGGTGTAACTTGATTTTTGGGGTCGATTTCACCTAATTTCTACATTCTGTCATGAAGAGCACATGTTCAACTTAATAAAAAACATGTTTTCCCATTTCAAATGACTATAGTAAGTGCCTATTAAGTGCCAAATAAAGTAGCAGGGTTGACCGTATCAGGGTTGATGATTTCATCTTAAATCAACCATAAATCACCTTTATTCATATAAAAATCGTATTTCTAAAATTTTCCATGTGGTCTATATTAAAAGGATATTTTAAAATTCAATATTGATGCACAATTTGTACTTAACATTTTAAAGGGACGCAAAAGGGACACATTTCGTGGAACGACCCAATTATACTCATAATACAGATTCATGAAACTGTGTGTGTGTGCACGTGTGTGTGTGTGTGTGCGTGCGTGCTTGTCAGTGAGCGTGTGGGGCATTGGTGGGACCTCGCCGCCTTCAAAAAGAAACGGACCAGACAGATTCTCAATGGCGTCTCCTTCCATGTGAACAGTGGGCAGATCATGGGCATACTGGGGAACTCAGGTGAGCAACACAAACACACCAGTACAACTTACAGGCAATGAAGAACAAAATACTCAGTCAACCTGGTCTCAGAGCAAAACGTATAACATGTTACTAACATCCATGCCACTCCATTTAGTATGATATGTTAGGTTACATTACATTGGTATACCAATAGCGGTTGTGCAATATAATACGAATTATAAGACATATAGTATATGTTACGATTTGCAATTCGTGCTAAAATGCTAAAGTTGTCCGTGATGAGATTTGAAGACACAACCTTTGGGTTACTAGACGTTCGCGTTATACACCTACCCATTCACCCCGCAACCACCCTGCTTTCATTTTTCCTTAACCTACTGTCTTATCAAACGTAATATATACTGAACAAAAATATAAATGCAACAAGCAAAACTTAAAGATTTTACTGAGTTACAGTTCATATAAGGAAATCTGTCAATTGAAATATATTCATTAGGCCCTAATCTATGGATTTCACATGACTGGGCAGGGCCGCAGCCATGGGTGGGCCTGGGAGAGCATAGGCCCGCCCACCCACCCACTTGGGAGCCAGGCCCAGCCATTCAGAAATACGCGTTTTGTGCATATGGAAAATTACTGGGATCTTTTATATCAGCTCATGAAACATGGGACCAACACGTTTCATGTTGCATTTATATTTTTGTTCAGTATAGCATAATAAACGTGTCAAATAATGTAACGTAACATATATTATACTAAATGGAGTAGCACAGATTTTAGTAACATATAATAAGTTTTGCTCTAAGACCAGGCTGTCAGAGTAATTTGTTTCTGGGTGCCGAGACTACTAACATAATCAGTAACATAAAATATTTACCACAGTTGAACATAAATATACAAATCATACCTGACATTCTGTAGGCCTACAGTACATTATATAGTGCAATGCTCATCTTTCCATGCAATCTATGTAAAATACTGTAATTCTACTGCTGTACAATCATATTTGTCTCATCCTGTGCTGCCCTTGGCTTTCTGTGTGTGCCAGGCTCAGGGAAGACCACTCTCCTGGATGCTATCTCTGGGAGGATTGGGAACTCAGGCACTCTTCTGGGAGATGTGTCTGTCAATGGGAGGAAGCTAAAAAGAGAGCAGTATCAGGATTGTTTCTCCTATGTGCTACAGGTAAATACACACACACAGTAACATAGTCTAATCTCTCACCCACTATTTACCCAACGCCATAAATATTGTGCTTAGCTTATCATATTTGCTAGCAGTATAAACGTGGATGTGTTCAAGCTGGCTGACATTACATTGAGCTTTGTCTGTGACCTGCTGCATGAGAAAGTGAGAGAGAGTGGGTGAAATGCGTGGCATGGGGTAAATAGTCCACAAAGACACTCACTCCATAAACTCTTCTCACTTCAATTAGGGGATGGGTGGCCAGCCAGGGTGGAATTAACTGGGGTTACAGATAGCTTCTACATACAGTAATCTTTCTCGGGGATGTTCATGTGTATCCACAGCTATATTAAATCACTGAGTTTAGAACCCAGTCCTTTGAAATAATCTCTCCTTTTACTGCAGATAAAATCCGCCCTGCTCACCGGGGCCATAAACTAATCCAGTCATTAAATTTCCCTCCTAAGCCTTGGATGAGATGGTGATATTAAATCGCACAGTAATTAAGAATAGGAGCAGGAGAGTTCACTCACGCATGCATCCACGCTCATACACATTCTGCATGAGCACATCAAAGTTCCAAAATCCAGTACGGCTCTGCTGTCAGTCAATCATTAAAGCTCAGCCCGTTAAATCCATGTATGGGGCACACAATAAACAGAAAGAGAAAGACAACATTATACAGCTGCCATACATCCACACAAAACTCTCACAGTTCTCCTCACCTTTAACACGGAGCACTTAGGTAACAGACAGTCCCCTACGTCTGTGCAGAGGTAGGTAACAGTACAATCTCTGTGGGATTGTAGAAAACGTAGAGTTCACTTTACAGTACATACACAATACATGGACTACTAATATTTTGATCCCTGCCTTCGATCTGTCTTTATCCCTGGCTTTCTGTCTTCCATCTGTAGAGTGACAACCTGCTGAGTTACCTGACAGTGGAGGAGACTCTGACATACACAGCCCAGTTGGCCCTGAGACGACACTCAGCAGACGTCATCCACAAGAAGGTGTGAATCGTACAGACTATAGATAACCTCTAGACCAGGGCTGGCCTACAATAGATACACATGAAGATATCTTTGATTTCTCAAGCGATTCTGGCATCAACTGTGATAAGTTGTTGACCCCTGACTTCTTGGCCTGCAGGTGTCGGCGGTGATGGCGGAGCTGAGTCTAGGTCACGTGGCCCACAGTGTGATCGGTGGACGCGTCTTCCCAGGAATCTCTGGGGGAGAGAGGAGGAGGGTGTCCATTGCCATGCAGTTGCTTCAGGACCCTAGTGAGTACACATGAAGCTGTCTTTGGTCATTGCCTGTGGAGAATTTCAGGAGACAAGCATGTAAATACCCCTTAAACAAACACATAACTATACCATACATTACTAAAATATGTGTAGAAAAATACAGGCTATTCTACAAAACCAAGAAAACGCATTTTCAATATCATGGATTATACTGTGCCTTGTTAGAATAAGAGTATGTCACCTTGAGCGAAGGAAAAAGTTGATCATCACAAAGTTCAACCACTTCCGAGTGGCTAACAAAGAGACCTGTGTCTAATAATAGACTAGAAACAAAGAGAGATGGACAGAGAGGTGATGAGAGATGGAGTGGGGGGGTAATGAAAGGCAGGGTTATTACACACTCAGTATTAAGCTGAGTGAATCCTGTGAGGTGTCCCAGGTGGAGTTTATCAGGGCCTGAGGACCCACAGGGGGTGAGGGGGTCTCAGTCCTCATTCGGATTAGACGGAGCACTCTCCACCCAAACACTAGGCCACATTAATGAAGGGTTCCCATCTGCTGCCTCGCCAATCAACCAGGAAATGAATTAATCATCACACAATTAATGCATCTGTTAATTCCACTCATCCTTTTTAAAGAGGCAATCTTTTAATTGTGCTAATTGGATAAATTAACAGAAAAGAACACACTTATCTCAAAGAGTTGCTCCTTAGAGGGGGACTGTGCCATTTTAAAAGTTCAACTCTGTTTTTAAAAGATAAAACAATTCATGTGGAAGTTTTTTTCTGTGTTAAACATTCCCTGATGTGTTACTTTGGGACATGTGATGTTGTTTCAGAGGTCATCCTTCTGGACGAGCCAACCACGGGCCTTGACAGCATGACGGCCAATCAGATTGTTGTTTTACTGGCTGAGCTGGCCAGAAGGGACCGCATTGTCATAGTGACCATCCACCAGCCACGCTCTGAACTCTTCACGGTGAGGGAAAGAGAATGAAGCTGCTTTGTGTTATTTCCTTATGTTCAGTGATTATGTCAATTTGTCAGTTGATGCATTATACTCTCTGTTATGTTGATTGATGGAGACTAACTCCAGCCCTGTGTGTTCCCCAGGTCTTCAGTAGAATAGCCATAATGAGTAAAGGAGAGCTGGTGTTCTGTGGCCAGCCTGGAGAGATGGTGAACTTTTTCAGCACATGTGGCTACAAGTGTCCAGAATACTGCAACCCCTTTGATTTCTATGGTACAGTAATATATTCACTTCACACAATGTATTCATGTACCACCCTTATCTCTCTAATGACCCTCCCTCCTGGTCTGTCCTATGGATTGACTAACAGTGGATCTGACGTCAGTGGACACACGCTGCAGTGAGAGAGAGGCCACCACCTACAGCCGCATGCACGAGATCACCTCGTACTATCAGGACTCAGAGATCTACCAGAGCATGCTGAGACAGATTGAGCAGAGCTGCCAGCGAACAGACAAAACCAGCATCCCCTTCAAGCACAAAGAGTCACCCAGCGGCCTGGCCAAACTGGGTGTGCTTCTCAGGTCAGAGGTCAAACTACTGTGCTGCTTTTGATTGTGAAGGGAAAATAAAAATAAGGTTATTGTCTGAGGGTATAGTAGCCTCTGATGTGGTAGTGTGATGGCGCTACCTCTGAGTTACTGTCTGACTCAGTCCTGTCTAACCTCCATCATCTCCAGTGCCGTCTGCACTGATCTGGCTTCTGGCAACGCGTGTCGCGTTAGAACGACGCCACCTGACGGAAAGACAATGGTCTAACCTTTCTCTCTTTCTGTAGGAGGACTGTGAGGAACCTGTCTCGAGACAGGATGGGTGTCCTAATGCGTCTGTCCCAGAACCTCATCTATGGCCTGTTTGTGGCCTTCTTTGTCATGAAGCTGGACGATGACATCACCAAGGGAGCGGTACAGGACCGGATTGGCATTATCTACCAAGCTATGGGGGCGTCGCCTTACACTGGCATGCTGAACGCTGTAGCTCTGTGTGAGTTAGCTTGTTGTTTCTGCAAGTCAGATCAGGCTGATTTACAGGCTACTATTGTACATCTGTGGGGAAACATATTGAGTTACAATAATATCAAAATGGTCCAATGTTGTTAAACCATGCCTGCGTAATATGAACTGCCTATGTTCTGATCACGTGGACCTTATTTGGTGAGAGGACCCTGACCAGGGACTTTTCTCCAGATCTCTATGGACAGTTTAATGAACCCTCCTATTTTACCCCGTCTCACGGAGTAGCGATAAGGGATATGGAAGGAGATAAGGGACTAGGCCAAGCGACTTAAGGGTAACCACGAATCAATAAGCATCCAAACAGCTGTAGATAGCGGCAGTGGGTTTATAATGTTTATTGGTCTTGAACTTAGGGATATTTAGTAGCCCATAGGCAAAGCTACTTTTAGCACACAAATCTCTGTGCTGAAATTACATTATACAAGAGAAACTAATACAATCAGTGTAAAAGTATAATGGTAAAACAATTAAAGTTATCCTTGGAATATTTACCTGGATGCAATAGCAGGGGTTGTGTTCATATCATAATCACTACTGCCCTAATGATGCTGTGCTCTCTAGTTCCTGCTCTGAGGGCCATGGCTGACCAGGAGAGTAAGGATGGCCTGTACCAAAAGTGGCAAATGTTCTTGGCCTACATCTTCCACATCCTCCCCTTCAGCATCATCAGCGTGCTCATCTTCTCCTCCTTCCTGTACTGGTGGGTGTCTGTGTGTGTGTGTTGGTTCTTCTATCCTTGTGGGGACCTAAAGTAAAACAAGGAAAAATAAAATAAAATCCAATTTTATTTGCCACATGCGCCGAATACAACAGGTGTAGACTTTACAGTGAAATGCTTACTTATAAGCCCTTAACATTGTTTTAAGAAAAATAAGTGTTAAGTAAAAAATAGATAAGTAAAAAATAACAATAATTAAAGAGCAGCAGTAAAATAAAATAACAGTAGGGAGGCTATATGCAGGGGGTACCGGTACAGAGTCAATGTGCGGAGGCACAGGTTAGTCGAGGTAATTTAGGTAATATGTACATGTGGGTAGAGTTAAAGTGACTATGCATAGATAATAAACAGAGAGTAGCAGCAGCGTCCAGGTAGCCATGATTAGCTGTTCAGGAGTCTTATGGCTTGGGGGTAGAAGCTGTTAAGAAGCCTTTTAGACCTAGACTTGGCGCTCCGGTACCGCTTGCCGTGCGGTAGCAGAGAGAATAGTCTATGACTAGGGTGGCTGGAGACTTTGACAATTTTTAGGGCCTTCCTCTGACACCGCCTGGTATAGAGGTCCTGAATGGCAGGAAGCTTGGCCCGAATGATGTACTGGGCTGTACGCACTACCCTCTGTAGTGCCTTGCGGTCGGAGGCCTAGCAGTTGCCATACCAGGCAGTGATGCAACCAGTCAGGATGCTCTCGATGGTGCAGCTGTAGAACTTTTTGAGGATCTGAGGACCCATGCCAAATATTTTCGTGGGGACATTTCCCACATCCCCATGAGGACAAAGGCTATTTTAAGCTTAGGTGTTAGGTTTAGGGTTACAATTAGGGTAAGGGGTTAGTGGTTAGAGTTACAGGTTAAGGTTAGGGTTATGGTAAGGGTTAGGGAAAATAGGATTTTGAATGGAAATTAATTTTAGGTCCCCATGAGGATAGAAGAAGATAACTTGTGTGTGTGCACGTGTCTAAGTATGTGCACGTGTGTAAGTGTGAGTGCGTGTGTTCAACATGTAGATTTGCATTCATAGTCCCTCACACCTGACTGTGTGTCCATGCATGTGTGTCTCACTCTCTCTCAGGACGTTGGGGATGAACCCAGAGATGTGGAGGTTCCTGTGTTTCTCGGCTGTGATCCTGGTGCCCCATGTGGTGGGTGAGCTGCTGACCCTGGTGCTGATGGGAGTGGTGCAGGACCCCAACATGGTCAACACGGGAGTGGCCCTGCTCAACGTAGCTGGCATCATGGTGGGCTCCGGATTCCTCAGGTCAGACCACTACTAGGAAATATGGAATTGTCTAATTGTCATGCTATTATTTTACATACCCTTTAACAATTCCCTTTAACATTTACATTTGAGTCATTTAGCAGACGCTCTTATCCAGAGCGACTTACAAATTGGTGCATTCAACTTAGGATAGCCAGTGGGACAACCACCCTTCTTTTTTTTAAATGGGTGGTGGGGGAGGTAGAAGGATTACTGTTATACCATTCCAGGTATTCCTTAAAGAGGTAGGGTTTCAAGTGTCCCCGGAAGGTGGTCAGTGACTCTGCTGTCCTGGCATCGTGGGGGAGCTTGTTTCACCATTGGGGTGCCAGAGCAGCGAATAGCTTTGACTGGGCTGAGCGGGAACTGTGCTTCCGTAGAGGTAGGGGGGCTAGCAGGCCAGAGGTGGATGAACGTAGTGCCCTCGTTTGGGTGTAGGGTCTGATCAGAGCCTGAAGGTAAGGAGGTGCCGTTCCCCTCACAGCTCCGTAGGCAAGCACCATGGTTTTGTAGTAAATGCAAGCTTCAACTGGAAGCCAGTGGAGTGTGCGGAGGAGTGGGGTGACATGAGAGAACTTGGGAAGGTTGAACACCAGACGGGCTGCAGCGTTCTGGATAAGTTGTAGGGGTTTAATGGCACAGGCAGGGAGCCCAGCCAACAGCGAGTTGCAGTAATCCAGACAGGAGATGACAAGTGCCTGGATTAGGACCTGTGCCGCTTTCTGTGTAAGGTAGGGTCGTACTCTGTGAATGTTGTAGAGCATGAACCTGCAGGATCGGGTCACCGCAGGGTGTTGTCCAGGGTCACGCCAAGGTTATTTGCACTCTGGGAGGAGGACACAATGGAGTTGTCAACCGTGATGGCGAGATCATGGAGCGGGCAGTCTTTCCCCGGGAGGAAGAGCAGCTCCGTCTTGCCGAGGTTCATCTTGAGGTGGTGATCCGACATCCACACTGATATGTCTGCCAGACATGCAGAGATGCGATTCGCCACCTGGTTATCAGAAGGGGGAAAGGAGAAGATTAGTTGTGTATCGTCAGCGTAGCAATGATAGGAGAGGCCATGTGAGGATATGACAGAGCCAAGTGACGGTGTATAGAGAGAATAGGAGAGGGCCTAGAACTGAGCCCTGGGGGACACCAGTGGTGAGAGCACGTGGTGCGGAGACAGATTCTTGCCACGCCACCTGGTAGGAGCGTCCTGTCAGGTAGGACGCAATCCAAGAGTGAGCAGCGCCGGAGATGCCCAACTCGGAGAGGGTGGAGAGGAGGATCTGATGGTTCACAGTATCAAAGGCAGCAGATAGGTCTAGAAGGATAAGAGCAGAGGAGAGAGAGTTAGCTTTAGCAGTGCGGAGAGCCTCCGTGACACAGAGAAGAGCAGTCTCAGTTGAATGACCAGTCTTGAAACCTGACTGGTTTGGATCAAGAAGGTCATTCTGAGAGAGATAGCAGGAGAGTTGGCTAGAGACAGCACGCTCAAGAGTTTTGGAGAGAAAAGAAAGAAGGGATACTGGTCTGTAGTTGTTGACATCGGAGGGATCGAGTGTAGGTTTTTTGAGGAGGGGTGCAACTCTCGCTCTCTTGAAGACGAAAGGGACATAGCCAGCGGTCAAGGATGAGTTGATGAGCGAGGTGAGGTAAGGGAGAAGGTCTCCGGAAATGGTCTGGAGAAGAGAGGAGGGGATAGGGTCAAGCGGGCAGGTTGTTGGGCGGCCGGCCGTCACAAGTCGCAAGATTTAATCGGGAGAAAGAAGTCAAAGCATAGGGTAGGGCAGTGTGAGCAGGACCAGCGGTGTCATTTGACGTAATAAATGAGGATCGGATCAAAATGGTTGACGAAGTCATCCACAGAGAGGGAGGAGGGAGGGGCAGGAGGAGGAGGATTCAGCAGGGACTCACATTACCATCTGAGTAGGGGCAGAGTGAGTAGTGTTGGAGGAGAGCGAGAGAGAAAAGGATACAAAGTAGTGGTCGGAGACTTGGAGGGGAGTTGCAGTGAGATTAGTAGAAGATCAGCATCTAGTAAAGATGAGGTCAAGCGTATTGCCTACCTTGTGAGTAGGGGGGGACGGTGTGAGGGTGAGGTCAAAAGAGGAAAGGAGTGGAAAGGAGGCAGAGAGAAATGAGTCAAAGGCAGTCACCCAGAACTGTGAGGGGTGAGCCATCCTCAGGAAAGGAACTTATCAAGGCGTCAAGCTCATTGATGAACTCTCCAAGGGAACCTGGAGGGCGATAAATGATAAGGATGTTAAGCTTGAATGGGCTAGTGACTGTGACAGCATGTAATTCAAATTAGGAGATAGACAGATGGGTCAGGGGGAAAAGAGAGAATGGCCACTTGGGAGAGATGAGGATTCCTGTGCCACCGCCGCGCTGACCAGATGCTCTCGGGTATGCGAGAACACATGATCAGACGAGGAAAGAGCAGTAGGAGTTTCAATGTTCTCTGTGGTAATCCATGTTTCCGTCAGCGCCAAGAAGTCGAGGGACTGGAGAGTAGCATAGGCTGAGATTCTGCCTTGTTGGCCATAGAACGGCAGTTCCAGAGGCTGCCGGAGACCTGGAACTCCACGTGGGTCGTGCGCGCAGGGACCACCAGATTAGAGTGGTAGCAGCCACGCGGTGTGAAGCATTTGTATGACCTGTGCAGAGAGGAGAGAACAGGGATAGACAGACACATAGTTGACAGGCTACAGAAAAGGCTACAATAATGCAAAAGAGATCGGAATAAAATTAAGTAAACATCTGGGGAAGCGAAAGAGCGGGGCCTCCCTCACTTACCTTTCACTGAAACACTCCTATGGAGGGAGAAGAACAATTAATTCAGGAAATTAGTGGTACTGGTGAAGTTTTATGTGTGTGTTCATTGGCTCCCATAACCACTCTCAAAGATGTAAACTACGGACCATAATTGAACTGATGGCCCTGTTCTGTTCTTCTCCCTCCATAGGAGTAACCAGCAGATGCCTGTGGTATTCCAGTGGCTCAGCTACCTAACCTTCCAGAAGTACGGATGTGAGCTGCTCATTGTCACGGAGTTCCATGGCCTCAACTTCACCTGCAGTAAGACTCATACAAAATCTTTCTCCAGTTAACACAGCTAGTGATACCAGTGCCCAAATGAATCAGGAAATTATGTGATGAGTGCACTGTAACAGTATGGTACAGTACATCCCTATCAGGTTGCCCTAAAAAGCCAATGTTAAGACTCATGCATACTGTATATCACCTAATCGTTACAATGAGTCTGGGGTTGATTACTTCTGTCTACGTTCTATGCAGGTACAGGCAGTATACCTCTTCCAGGCGCCTGTTTGATGACAGATGGAGATGACATCATAGACCAGGGTTACCCAGGAGCCCTGGACCGCTACACCCTGGACTTCCTCCTGCTCTACTCCTTCCTGCCTGCCCTGGTGCTGCTGGGAGTCATCAGCTACAAGATCAGAGACCGCCTCGTCCAACACTGAAACAGACACTGACACCAACATGGAGACAGAAAGGGGTGTGGGATTGCTGGAGTTTGGTCTAGTGGTACTATAAACACCACATACACTCAGTGGCCAGTTTATTAGGTACATCACCCCGTTCACGAAAATGGTTTGCTCTTACAGAAAGTGAGTCACGTGGCCGTGGCTTGCTATATAAAGCAGGCAGACAGGCATTGAGGCATTCAGTTACTGTTCGATTGAACATTAGAATGGGCAAAACAAGTGACCTAAGTAACTTTGAGCTTGGTTCCATATCTCAGAAACGGCCGGCTTCCTGGGCTTTTCACGCATGACAGTGTCTAGGGTTTAGCGAGAATGGTGTGACAAACAAAAACATCCAATCAGCGGCAGTCCTGTGGGCAAAAACAGCTCATTGATGAGAGGTCGAAGGAGAATGGCAAGAATCGTGCAAACTAACAGGTGGGCCACAAACAGGCAAATAACGGCGCAGTACAACATTGGTGTGCAGAACGGTATCTCGGAATGCACAACTTGTCGGTCCTTGTCACGGATGCGCTATTGCAGCAAACGACCACACCAGGTTCCACTCCTATCAGCTAAAAACAAGAAGAAGCGGCTCCTGTGGGCACGCGATCACTAACACTGGAACAATGAGTGGAAAAACATTGCCTGGTCTGACGAATCCTGGTTCCTGTTGCGTCATACTGATGGCAGAGTCAGGATTTGGATTAAGCAGCATAAGTCCATGGCCCCATCCTGCCTGGTGTCAATGGTAGTATAATGGTGTGGGGAAAGTTTTCCTGGCAAACGTTAAGCCCCTTGATACCAATTGAGCAACGTTTCCATGCCCCGAAGAATTCAGGCTGTTCCGGAGGCAAAAGGGGTGTCCAATCCGGTACTAGACGGACATACCTAATAAACTGGCCAATGAGTGTATATTTCCCAACGGCGGGGGGTCCATTCCTTGGTCCACCACTTTCTATGCAGTTCATCCCCTTCCATCTGTCTTCAAACTGTCTAAATTAAAGTAATAAACACAAATAGGGAATAGTTATATACTGTTTTTACTTTAGAAATAAGGTATACTGTTGGATATCTGTGTTTTCTACGCTTGCAGAAAGTGACATGCCAGTATGATGGGATCTGTTGGGATCTCCTTATTAAAAGAATTAACATTATTTTTGCTTTCTTTTTGTAAAAATGTCAAGTAAATTTATTTTTCAAAATAAATGTTTCTAATGAAAATACTTACAATACAACAGTTGTGCTGTGTGTGTGAATAGGAAAATCTATGTATTTTTCCAATACAATTGATATGAAACATGCATTGTATAGTAAGTTCTATAGTATATTGTAATCAGAGCATTTCTCTGGGTATATTAAATGACTGTACAGGTGTCTGCCATGGCTGAAGTAGAGGGTGAAGTCTGTCTAAGCTCTAGAACATTCTGTTCTGATGTTCTCATTGGCTGAGAGAGCTGATGAGTCTATTAAGTTAGGTCTCCAGTTCCAAGACTTGGACACGTTCCTCTTGTACTGGTCCAGTTTCTTTAGACAAGACAGAGGGGACAATGTTATCATTGTTTTGGGTTCATCCTACATGGTTTTCACACAATTGTATAGTGTTAAAACCCTGTAAGGATACCATGCAAGATGACTGTCAAACAATGTAACCTGGTATAACAGAAAGCTGTTATGGATGCTGAGCTCAGGGTCCAGCTGACACAGATTCAGTTAGGTGATGACCTTGACACATGACGTGTATGACATTTATTACAAAGAGTCAATCAGTAGTGCTGGTAAAAACATATAAACTCAGTGTGACCCGGGCCAGAATTGAATTCTGACCTAGTAAAAATCCATCTGTCAAGGGTACATCTGAACCAAGGTTCCATCTAATGGCTCTATCTGGGTTTCTAAGCTATCAAGGCACATGTTTGAGTCTTTAGTATTCACATTCTCAATATTGGCATGGAGTCAGTACCCCAGTCTCTCAACTTCTATTGGCTGACTCCACCCACCATATGATCCCTGCCCAATGGGAGTGCTATCTGAGCCGAATCAGGTGAGGGACAATAAATAAAACATAATGTGGACACTTGGCTGGAGCCAGAAACACACCAGAGGTTACTTTAGTTCAAATGCCACAGTGGCACGTGTATCTGGCTGCAGCCATTCAAAGGTTATCGTTGCACATTAAAACAGTTATGATCAGACAATTACACACAGATTTCTACAGGGCAACCGCAATGCAATCTAACTGGGGTTACTAGAAGACAAGTAGAGATGGTTGAGCTAGATTAGAAGAACATGATAATTTTGACAATTAGAGCCTGACCTATATGTTTCTTTTGGTCTGATACCGTTTCTGATTTTTTTTGGGGACAAAACTTACGGATATCGATATATCTGCCAATATACTGTTTTACAGCGGGGAAATGAAAAAGTCAAAATGTTCCACACTGAATTCTCATCAATTGCCATCCAAATGACCAATTGTCGAAGAAATATGCTTCAAATGTTGATTTCTTACATTGTGACAATAATGACATTTATTGAATATCGTTTATCGGTGGAATTATTGGCCGATACCGATATAGCGTTAAAAGGCCAATATCGGCCGATAATATTGGTGAACCGATATATCAGTTGGCTCTAATGACAATCTCCACAGACCTTGACTGGTCCCATACAGTGTGTGCTGTAGCCAACTCTTCTAACCCTAGGGCTGCGTTTACACAGGCTGATCATTTTCTGATATTTTTCCACTTTAATTGCTCTTTTGACCGTTCAGATCAGCTCTTCTGTCAATAATTGGGCAAAAGATCAGAATTGGGCTGCCTGTGTAAATGCAGCCTAACAAACACAGAAAGTTGGCTAGAGCACAAACAGACTGGACCACCAGGCTAACAGGGGCCATTGGAGTTGAGACAAGGTTCATACCGTGTCTTTCTGGGCTCTCATGGAGTGAATCTGGGGCTCACTGTACTGTAGGTCCTTGGCTGGGTCCTTCAGCTCTCTGTGGTGCTCGCTGGTGCAAGACAGGAGTAATGGATCAGTATCACACACACATATTAACGTGGTTGTGTGTGGGTGTGCAACAGTGAGTGTATGTGTGAATGAGAGGGTGTTTGTCCATAGCGCAGGAATTACCTCAGGAGGAAAAAAACGACCTCAAACCCTTTCTTCCACAGATCTAGAGGGTTTTTAGCATGCAGAGTCCCAATGTCAACAGCAGTGATTGGGGGAGAACCTGGGAAGTAGAGTGAGATCAAGTTTATCATATTAAAATAACAGGTACAGTAAGACCAAGGAGCTGATCGTGGGCTACAGGTGGGGTGCACACACCCCCATCCACGTCAACGGGGCCGCATTGGAGAGGGTCAAGAGTTTCAAGTTCCTCAGGACTTAACATGGTCCTTTCACACCAGTACAGTCGTGAAGAAGGCACGGTAGTGCCTCTTCTCCCTCAGATCCTCAGGAACTTTTACAGCTGCACCATCGAGAGCATCCTGACTGGTTGTATCACCACCTGGTATGGCAACTGCACCGCCCTCGACCGGAAGGCCCTACAGAGGGTGGTGCAGAAGGCCCAGGGCATCACTGGGGGAGAGCTCCCAGCCATACAGGATGTACATGTCAGGCGGTGTCTGAGAAAGGCCCAAAAAATTGCCAAAGACTCCAGCCACCCGAGACATGGACTGTTCTCCATGCTGCCGTCCCGCAGGCAGTACCAGTGCATCAAGGCTCAGACCAACAGACTCCTATACAGTTTCTATCCCCTGGCAATAAGAGTGTTAAATGGCTGACCCTCTCTCACAGACTATCCACACTGACTTATTGATTTGATTTATTACTACCACTACGCTGCTGTTCATTGGTAGCCATTAGTGTCACTATTACTCCTGTTTATATGTATATATCCTTTTTTTTTTTTGTGTGTCATTTAGCAGATGCTCTTATCCAGAGCGACTTACAGTTAGTGCATACATAATGTTTTATACTGGCCCCCCATGGGAATCTAACCCACAACCCTGGCGTTGAAAACGCCATGCTCTACCAACTGAGCTACATCCCTGCCGGCCATTCCCTGGACAACGCCCCATGGGTCTCCCGGTTGCGGCCGGCTACGACAGAGCCTGGATTCGATGCCTTAGACCACTGCGCCACTCGGGAGGTATATATTACTATTAGTATATTACCGTAAGTATTTATATATTCCTGCTACCAGTCACTTTGCAGCCCTGTTTACATGTACAGTTGAAGTCGGAAGTTTACATACACCTTAGCCAAATACATTTAAACTCAGTTTTTCACAATTCCTGACATTTAATCCTATTAAAAATTCCCTGTCTTAGGTCAGTTAGGATCACCACTTTATTTTAAGAATGTGAAATGTCAGAATAATAGTAGAGAGAATGATTTATTTCAGCTTTTATTTATTTCATCACATTCCCAGTGGGTCAGAAGTTTACATACACTCAATTAGTATTTGGTACCATTGCCTTTAAATTGTTTAACTTGAGTCAAACATTTCAGGTAGCATTCCACAAGCTTCCCACAATAAGGATTTTGTCCCACTCCTCTTTGCAGATCTTCTCCAAGTCATTAAGGTTTCGAGGCTGACATTTGGCAACTCAAACCTTCAGCTCCCTCCATAGATTTTCTATGGGATTAAGGTCTGGAGACTGGCTAGGCCACTCCAGGACCTTAATGTGCTTCTTCTTGAGCCACTCCTTTGTTGCCTTGGCCGTGTGTTTTGGGTCATTGTCATGCTGGAATACCCATCCACGACCCATTTTCAATGCCCTGGCTGAGGGAAGGAGGTTCTCACCCAAGATTTGACGGTACATGGCCCCGTCCATCGTCCCTTTGATGCGGTGAAGTTGTCCTGTCCCCTTAGCAGAAAAACACCCCCAAAGCATAATGTTTCCACCTCCATGTTTGATGGTGGGGATGGTGTTCTTGGGGTCATAGGCAGCATTCCTCCTCCTCCAAACACGGCGAGTTGAGTTGATGCCAAAGAGCTCCATTTTGGTCTCATCTGACCACAACACTTTCACCCAATTCTCCTCTGAATCATTCAGATGTTCATTGGCAAACTTCAGACATATATGTG